TGGAACAATGCTTATAGCAATTCTTACTAAACTATATTTCGTTGATTTGCAAATTCACATTTTTTAGTTTTATTTCGGATTGATTTCTGATTTTTTAAAATATTGTTGAAAATTTCAAAGAATCCGAATATAAAATGATTAACGCTCATCATTTCATCATTTTTGGCTCGTTCCACAATGCAATATGATCAAAATTTAAGAAGTCGCTTAGCAATAGAACTACAAGAGGGGATGACAGTATCCCCCGAATTTTTCAATGATTTCTTCCTGTCGGAAGTAATTTTATATATATATTATATAATAATATTAGTATAATTATAAATATAATTATATATATTATAATATAATATAATATAATATAATATAATATAATATAATATAATATAATATAATATTAATATAATATAATTAAAAATTCATATAAATTTAGTATAGAAATTACAATTCTTAACAGCAAGAAAAAACGTTGTCTGTCTAGCGAAGAAAATTTTTTCTCGAAGAATTTCTCACATTCGTATCTGAAAAAGGATTTCGAAACGAACCAATAAGCTTTTAAAATATGAATGAAAAGATAGACAGGCAAGTAAAAAAGGTAAGCAAGAATGGGTTTATGGGTTGAAATAATTCTCGAATGAAGAAAAATGGTTAGAGAGGCTACAGAAGAGGTTAGTTAACACGGAGGGAGAGAGTTTCACCAATTTTCTCTCAATTTTCATCTAAAAAAATATGAATTCCAAAACCAGTTTAGTTTAGATGAGTAATAAATCGAAGAGCACATGAACGACGATTATCAAAAATTTTCTTTTTTCTCCGAAAAAAAATTCTTACCGTTGCCCATTGAAAATTTTAAAGAAATTTTTTGCTAGGTTATTAACAGCCATTTCGATTTAACGCAATACTTTCAATATTCTCAATTTTTGTCGTAAAAAAGGACAAAGCTGTCAAATATGTATTACGCGTGACATATTTTTATAAATGAAATGACAAAATCATTCGTTAAATGGCATTATTTGTGCATATTGCGAAAGTGGTATATTACATTTACTGAAATCGGTTATATAAAAATTAAAAAATTTAAAAATTTTTAGAAATTTTTCGAATTGTCGAAAAAAATACCGAACTTTAAGTTATTTTTAAGTTGTCAATTTCCGAGTGTCATAAAAGCAAAAAATAATTAAATTTTCTATAAGTTTAATGGTGTAATAATGAATAATAATAAAATTGTCATATTGCCATATTTTATAAAAAATTGAAGTTTAGAAAAAAAATGGGAATATTGATAGGAAAATAGAAAAAATTTAGTAATTCTTACAAAATATGAATTTGTTACAAAAATCTTACAAAAATCTCTCCGGCACCACCATTTGTGATTTATCTCGCTCAACTGGCTCTTAAGATAAGACCATTTCTCTAAAGATCATCTTGGAGAGATTCAAGGCAACTTCCAGATTCCACTGTTAATGGTTAACTCAGCCGGCAGAAATGGAATTCGTGGTATTTGATCTCAGCTAAAATCATTTCACCGCAAATTTTATCCTCTACAAGATAAAGAAATATTTGGCATGAAATTAGCCTTATGAAATAAAGTAAAATGTAAAAAACCATTGCGGGCATCACAATATCGAATGAAAAAATTTCGAGCAAAAATTTTTTTTACGCCTTAATGCTTTTGTTCTGAATTTTTATTGTGAGAAATATCTGTCATTCGAACAAATGCCTTTCTTCATCTTCCTTTGATAGCACCTATCATTTCTGGCTTGGCTGACAGGAGACCACTTTGCCACGAATCAGTTGTGGGTATAAACGCGAACAGAACTCTACGAAAGTCTCTAGCTCGCCTTCTTTAAAACAAATGTTCTTTTTATGTTTCTGACTTTTCAGTTTTATAAACTGTTAAATTTAAATTATTACGAAACAAGCTTAAGGATTTTTTCAACCAAAATTTTAAGGAACAAAAGGGTCAGAATAGCCGAACAAGTAATGTAACTGTAATTGCTTGAATTCCGTCTTGCGAATCGCTTCTTCTTCTTCTCTCCAACAGAAGCAAACCTGTCATTAAAAAATCCGGATGGTGATGGTGGTCCATCTGCATTCATATCGCCAGGAGGACTTTTTTAAATAGCCAGTGTTTCTAAATTGGCTGCTACGAATCAAATTAAATTTTTGGTAAACTGAATGTTATTTTGTTATGGTTAAGTTGAATTTGAGTCGTATTTTTAAGTTAAATTACATCGACAAAAATTGATAAAAGTATTTCCCAGAATTTTGCGCTCAGAAAAAACTTTAAGAATTTATTTTCAATCACTTTTAAAGTATTTTACGATCTATTAAAGATCGTAAAAAATACTTAATTTCTAAAAAGATATGCAATGATTCAAAGGCGAATTTCCAAACTGCACTTTTTTCTAACGTTTATGTTACATTTATGAACGAATAATTTTGCAAAATTTACAATATTTCAGCATATACAATAGTGTAATAAGCAGTTAGCTGGCTCATCGTTCAATATAGCCACGCTTTGATTTGATTTTATCAATTAAAGACCACTTTTTAAATGTTATTTGAGCCTTCGCAGCTGGCAATACTTTATTCCAAATTAAATTTTACATTTAAGCGGTATTGCTACGAAACAAGTGATCTTTTCTTTAGTCATAAATTCTTTAGTCATAGTCGATGTGAATGAGGTGAATATCAAGCAGATATTCAGTTCATGCTTAATATATAACACCGAATGGATAAACGTCAAGCTCGAAATCTGCAACTTACACGAAAAACATACTAATTCACGCTTATAGGTTTATGGGCACCACAAATCCAACGTCTTACTGCATGATTCCATTTATAGTATTGGCAAGCGATGAATTAGATTAGTATTTTTACACCCATACGACACCCTAAAAGCTGAATTCTCTCAATCTATTTTTCTCGTCTTTTTGTAATTGCCAAAATTCAAAGACACAAATAGGAAGTGAATTATTCATTTTTAAATATATGACGAATCGAATTTATCACAAACTTAACACTCCACAAATTCTATAATTTATAACCTATAAAATCAACTTTCTCGAACGCCAATTTTTATTTTAAGAGAAAAGCAGAAGAAATGTTAAAAGCGATAATGAGCAATAAGTTGTCGAAAGAAAAAAAATCAAATTGAAAAGAAATTTCATGTGCGAATTTCAAGAAGGGTAGCCAAATTTCTATAAATTTAGCAGTGCAATTACCACGAACCTGTTATTTTCTAAACTATGAAAGGATGGCTGATGTCTGACGAATTCTACAAATTAAAAAAATTATCACCACACATAGCATACATTTAATGAAAAATTTGTGCAAATTCTCTGCAAACTTCTTTCAGTTCACTGAAAATTAAACAAAAATGTGATCAAAATGAAAAATTTCTCTCCTTTAAAATTTTTCTCCTTTAAATTCCATTTTGCTAGCTAAAATCTTCGACAAACTTTTCCAATTTCATTTTTCAAAAGATATTTCTATAGATTTTTATTTTGCACATAGAAAATTTTTAAATAAAATCAGTTGAATTAATGACACTAAATTCTTTTGAATTTGAGAGCAACGATAAGATTTCAAAAAAACTTTTGAAAAGAAATTATTTAAAACACATATGAAAATATAAAAAAATAATCGAAAAATTTTTCGATTCCTCCAAGCGATAAATTTAACTTTGGAAAAAAAATTCTTATACAAACCGGAAAGGAAACTGTTCCAAATTTAAAAATATTGTCCATCGTTTGTAAGGCTTGAAATTTTAAAGAAATATGAATTCATATAATTTACAATAAAAACCGGATGGTGCCATATGTACTCAAAGCTGAGGGCGTTTCAAGCTTCCGCCAGCCAAAGCAGCAGCAACACCATGAATACGACCGATTCCAAACTTCAGATCGATCTATTTATTATCGCTTTGAACTTTAAATCTCGCAGTTTTGCTTTTTGAGAAATTGTTTCAACCTAAAAAATTGTAATGCTTCAATTCAAAATTTTTTTCTGAAATTGTCGATCTTTAAACAAACAATTGCGGTTCCAGAAATCGATTGTATCGCAGATATCAACGTTTTGGCAAATATATTAAATTAAGAAGAGAGAAATGATTTGATAACAATTTGATAAGGGAAATTCAGAAATCTCATTTGATTTTGACAGGATGTGATTTTCACCAATTTTTAAAATAAAATTCAATTCTAAATCGAACATCGTTTCCTTCCCTTTTTTCTCGTGCAGTATATTCTCAATGTTCACTAAAACGCTAAACCCTGATTCAAAATTGGTTCATGATCATATTATATAAAACGGTAATGGATGATCCATTCATCACGGTCTTTCAACAACATTAAAAAGAAATATACAACTTCGAGCTCAGCTTCTCTATTTCACCATAACTTTAAACAAATCGATGAAATGAATCAGTTCCAACCAAACTTTCCGTCGTATTTCCCTTCTTTACTTTCATTGCCATCTATCCAAAAACTTTTCGTTATGTTATGCTTACAATGAAAACAAAAATATTTATCGAAAAAATAATTCCTTTCTTAATAATTAGTTCCTTTTTTAAAAATATAATATAGCAGTTCACCATTTAATCATTAATCGCTTTTCACAAGATGTAGATGTTAGATAATGCAACAATCTGGGGTAATAAATTATATGAGCCACATCGTAACGGATAACCCGAAATGACAAAAATGGGAACAATGTTAACAACAGGTAATAAAACGATAAAGTAATGCAAATGCTAACAGATATAGATAAATAGTTAAATTCAATCAAATAAACTTCCAGCCAACCCACTTAGCCCTTTTTGCTAACATTTAATTTGTCTAGTAAACCTTAATTAAATGCTTAGTTAAAAGTAAAAATAACTGAAACTTTGAGCAACAGCAGAAAATTTCTGGAAGGCCTTTGAAATCAATTCAAACAAAAGAAATCGTTCGATCTTTCGAAATTCACAATTATAATCAATTTTCATTAGGACATACGAATTATAATTCAGTATGTTTGTCTTCTGTTTCTTCTTCCTCGTCTTCAGCTTCGGCTTCGGCCTTTTCTGCGTCAGACATACCAGCACCTTCTTTGCCACCACTTTCCAAGAACTTCGTCAAACCTTCTAAAGTCCTATCGCCAGAGAAATCAACCATCTAAAATAAAAGAAAATATTCAAAAAAAGCAAATAAGATAGGACAACAGATAACAATGGTAAAAATTACCTTATCCGAATTCATTGGAAAGAACTTAATAGTTGGGAATGAATGAATTTTCACGTTTTCCACTTCATTGGCTGTGGCGTCCATTTTAGCAACAATAATTTTGTCATTATCTTTATATTTTTCACCCAATTTTTCCCAGATAGGCATTAATTGTTTGCAATGTCCACACCACGGAGCATCTGTAAAAAAATCAAGACACACGATGACTATATAATCCTATCAAAATAAGTAGCGCCCATATAATGAGAAACTCACAGAACAAAATTATAACGTCCTTATTTTTGTCCTTTGCGATCTGATCGAAATTCTTTCCAACAATTATTTTAACTGGTTGTTTATCCCAATCATCGGGAATTTCCTCACTCATAAGATGTGGCTTCAATTTGCCATCCAGATAATCCATAACAAATTTTATCATGCCACTTGTTGTAATTTCATCAGTATCTGGTTTAAACTTTGTTAAATCTTCTTCAAGACTAATAATGCGCAATGCAGGCAAATCTGATTTATTCAATCCGAAAAATTCCATGATTCGACCGTTGTCTTCAACGTCGGTATTAATATATACGAAAAGTACCTAAAATCATCATAAGAAATATGTAACATTTTTTTATTATAGTAAATTTTTAAAACCACTGAAAAACGAAAATAAACGAACCTTTCCTCTAAAATGTTTAGCTGCTTCGCGGAAATCTGCTTCAATTTTTTCAAATTCTTTGCTTTCCTTTTCGATAAATAAGAGAAGATGTTTTTTGATTTCTCCACCAAATACAACAGCTGCCGAATCTTGTGTGAATTCGGTAATTAGTCCAAGCCTATTCACCTAAAATTTTCAGATCCAGCCGATCTAAATAAGTTGAACGAAAAAAACCAAACCAAGAAAATCAATAAATTTGCCGTTTAAAAAACAAAAATTTGGAAAATTAAAAAAACGTACATGAACAAACTTTTTGAGATTATCAGCACTTAAATCCTCTTCGAAATCATTCCGTCTTTCATCGAATTTCTTAAGCAGCACAATTCCTTCCTTTTCCATTTCCATCTTTGTGGCAATTTTCTTTTCTGACGTAATACCAAACGGAATATCATCAAATGTACCAGCAACATTTAAGAATATTTTCGCACTATCACTATCCATATCCTATATAAACCTCAATAAATATCAACGTTTTTTCACAAAATATCTTGATTTCACCAGCAATGATTATTTTTTTTATGATAGGAAGTTTTCTTAAATTTCCACCTGTCTTATCCAAGAAATATTGTGAGCATATAAGACGATACAAAAGGATGGATAAACTGAAACAATGTAATCTGTGGAATAGTGGGAAATAAAACAAGTGAAAAGTAAAATAAGAAATAGTATATATAATAGCACCTAAATTTTGTAAAACCTAAACACTCATATCACATCCACCACTAAAATAAGAGGCAAACGATATATTCTCTATAAAATACAAAGGCTCCAAAAATCCCGAAAACTTCGGTAAAATAAAACTGTAATGGGTATTAAAAAAATCTAAGGAAAATCCAAAGAAAAATTAAACCTTATAATAAGCAATAACAACAACATCGGCTGACTCTTGAAAATCAGTGAATTCATCAACTGTTGTAAGTGTTTTGGCCGGTGGACCTGTTTTTTTCTTTAACCAACTAACAATCTGTGAGGCTTCACGACCTCCCGAATATTCTTGTGGCGTTCCTGATCGGAATAACTTCAAGGTTGGATAACCACGCACCTTAAATCTCCAGTAAATCGTTTAAATTAAAGTAAACATTTTGGTTCTTAGCATTCACATCATGTCCACCACTAAATTAAAAAGAAAACAATGTTTGATAACTTTTTTAAATTCAAACTTATGAACCAAAAAATACAATTTATTCAATCAAAAAATTCAAATTTGCGAAGACAAACTAAATTCAATAAATTCTAGTTAAACACAAAGCATTTTTTGTTATATCGTAGAGATCTAATTATATAACTGAATCAACTACATATCAATGAAAAGAAAAAGATTAAACCAACTTCATATTTAGAAGAGAGTTCTGTATGAACAGTTGCATCAACTTTACCAAGCTTTATTGGGCTACCTTCGTCCCTTAATTCTTTAGCTGCATTTGCGTAATGTGGAGCCAATGCTTTACAGTGTCCACACCATGGTGCATAAAATTCCACCAAAACAAATTCGTTGTCCTTTATCACTTGATCAAAATTTTGCTGAAAGAAAAAAGAAATAAAGAAAAACCACTCCCAAAATTTCCGCAGAAAATTTTTTAAGCAAAATTTGACTATATAAAACGTAAAAATTGGTAATCAAGAAATGTATAAATCTACCATTATGAGAATAAAACGAGTTTTAAAATTATAATTTTTGATATCTACACGAATCAGATTTAAATAAAACTCGTTCCTCAGATCCGTTTTCAATTTTTTTGGTAAAAATTTCCTTCAAATGAAATTCTTTAAATAAAAAATGTAAAATAAAATAAAATTTAGCTTGGATAAAAACAATTCAAAGAAAAATTTACTCTGCAAAGAAATTATCTGAAAAACAAAAATTCAGATATAACTTCATTAATTAACTGCTTATTTAATTAATCAGTTTAAATTAATAAACTAATGTACCTGTAAATAAATCAAGAAAAATTTGCTGCTATTTAATGTCGTTACTAATTCCTCATTAACATTATTATTATTGTCATTATCATCACTATTATCACTAATATGAGATTAGTAATACATAGTTGGGGGTTGAATTGCTCAGTGGGTTGCTGCGTAGTTTGGAGCGCCGACGCTGAGGTTCGATTCCCCTAGGAGTAAAGCTTTACAGAAATCCGGGTGATGCTGGCAACTCACCAGCATTTCTATCGCAAAGGGTATATTTGTCCAATGCGACAAGCCAGTGGAGCGAGTTTAACCAGTAATGGTGAGGACTCTTAAAAAAAAAAAATAATACGTAATTACAATAATTATCACTGTCAATAATATTATTACAACAGTAATTCCAACAATAATTCCATTAGAACACTTTACTTTATACTCATACGTGAAAATTAAAAATTTGTAAAATCCGATATATAAAAAAGACATAAAAAATAAAAAAATTTATCAGACGAAGGTTATCAGTCACTGTTTACTCATTATCAACTGCCCCTATCACCACTGAAAACAACAAAAAAATTATTCTTGATTATTATTCCAACTCTCATTGCAAAGTTTATTCGACCTTTTAAATTCGACAACCAAAAAATATTCATATCAACGTAAGATCGATCTGAACGGTCGGCAATCCAAGCTCCTAAGGATCAAATTCAAGAAAAGACTCCGAGTTTAAGAGCTTAGAAATAAATCCAAAAGGGGAAATATAAAAAATAAAAAAGAAAGCGAACCTGAGTTAAAACAAGCACGAAATCCTCTTCTTCAACCTCCAAAGCATCCGTTAAATAACAATTATTTGTTGCAACGAAATAAATTAAAACATTGACAAGTGATAAGAACATCCCACCTTTGACCTTTATTGATAACAAACAAAAATTATCGTTGAAAACAGTCACCGAAACACAAAACACCAACCGATTTCGATGAGAAACGTTTATAAATGAAAGGTTTGCAATCGCGTTTCGTGTGTCTTTATTCTATTGGTTAATATTGATGCTCCGCCTATGAGCAAATCTCTCATTGGCTATTCTTATTTATTATTTTTTATTTTTCTTCAAATTTTTTATGAAAGTTCAAAGGTCGAATTTCTAGTAAATAAAAAAATTATCTTCTTATTCTTGGTTTTTCTTCCTTTTATCTAATTATTATATGCTAATATTAAAGAATTAAAGATTAACAAAGCCGCGTTGTAGCTATTCCGAAAAATCAGTTTCCATAGAGATTTTCCTCGTAGATAATCGCCACGTGTTCCAATTTTTAATGGAAGTAGCTGATAATTTGATAAATTTCCAATGGGACTTTAGGGAAAAATAAAGTTTTCATGGGTTTGTGGGTGTTTTTTATTGAATTAATATTAGTATTAATATTTGAATTAGTAATCGCATTTCAGCTATTTTTATCCGATTTCGTTCAAATTTTTTTATTAAAATAATTCATCAAAATAACATTTTATTTTTCAGTGGGAATTTTCGAATTTATCGAATTTCTACGAACGAAAAAATAAAAAAAGTAAGCCGAAAAGCAATTTAAATAAATGATATCGAATGAAAAAATAAGATTTTTCCAACATCGCCGCGCACAAAAGTGCACAGCTGCGTGACGAGTTAGTTATACCATCGTTAGGGTTTGGACGTCGTCTCCGATAGGAGTAGGCAGCTGACTCGCGCTTCTCTCTCTCTCGGCGGGAATTTGCAAGAATTTCGTTCTGTGCTAATGGCCAGCGAAGCGAGCGACTCTTCCTTAAAAACACGGTCTAACCTCGAACCTTTCTTCGTCGCGCGCTCAACAAATGGTCAAGGAACAGTCGAATCGTAGTGGTTGGTGACATTTCATTTTTTCTAAGAGTAAGTAGTATGGTTTCTTGCGTTGACCACGAATGAGTCTGATGGATTCGTTTCACAATTGTTAAACTACTTCTGTTGTACTTCTACTTCTCTCTCTCTCTCCAATTAATATGGCAAGGCTAACAACCAGTTATGGTGTAAAATTAAAGGAGGCTAGAGAGAGTAGATAAACGCCTCTTTTCGGCATCGCGCACAAGTGAACATCGAAATCTCCCAACTTAGTTTTAAGGAAAACATCAAATAGACCATTTATGCTTATTTCTCAATTCGACCTCATGCGACCTTTTTGCCGCATTGAAGTTTCCATTTTCGAAATTTTCCGAGATTGGAATCCATTCTAGGAAAATCTTTGCAAAAATTTAATTTTTAATAGAAAATTGATAAAATTGTTGCTAATGAAATAAAATATAGAATGAAAATAATTACAGAAACAATAACTAATCAAGTAATTTGCCAAATCAATATGAAAATAATTATTAATTTTTCATGGAGGGATGAATTTATGCATGGAAATGTGAAATAATTTGGTTGGATGTTTTTTGCAGAAAGCGATGGAAAAATTGTATGAAAATATGCAAAAAACGTTAAGAAACAAGAAATCTTTGCAACAAAACGCTTAATATTTAATGTCTGTGGGTTTTAGAAGAAAATGTCTTCAAACTCGACCTGTTAGGTTGCAGTCCTTTGATGTTTTTCTATCACATTTTATTCCACTTAATGTTTCCAAAGCACTATTCTTTTGCCACAGTTCTAATAACAGGTTTTTAAACCTCTTTTTACCACTTTTGCCCTTAGATTTGTACTCTCTTCACCACCCATTCCCCAGAAGTCTCGCCAACCCGTTATTTCTGCCGCAGTCACAATTTAACTGCTTAAAATTCCTAAGGATGCAATGATGAAATATAGTTATTCATATACTTTGGATGTTTTACAGGTACTGATAATAAATGATTTATATTATGGTTTCCGCATAATTTTATAAGTTTTTCATTTTGTTATTAAGATGGTGATTTAATGAAGAGAAATAGGTTATTAGATCATAAATGACCTGAATAGTTCGATAATTAACGACATTTATTATCGATCAATCAATAAAATGGGACGACAAATTTTTCCCATAAAATATTTCTTCAGTTAAATAATCGAAATACAGTTCATTTGAAGTGAATTTTGTTCATTTCGAATATGTGGACAGCAGCAAATTTCTTAGAGAGGAGATTATAGATGATTTCAACAGATAATTCTTATAACACTCAACAATTTTGGCCATTAAGATGATATGTTTTAGTAAAGTCAATTGAAATTAAAAGTCCAAATCCCAGGTATCGATGGGATGGAATATCTTTAAGTGGATAAGTTACTGGTAAAAAGAACTTTGGCTATATAATAATCAATTATATTTAATAAAAGATAAAGGAAAGGCTAGCTGAAAAAAAAGGAAAAAAAAGCTAAGAAAAGGAAAGCCAAAAAAAGGAAAACTCAAGCTAAAAGACATGCGGTATCAGACCAACTGTAATTTTCGATTAAATTCTGCATGAATCAAGGTAAAAATATTATTTACCATGTTGACCATTATTTACTTGTTTAGGTTGATAAATCAATGTTGTTAATGTTGATAAATCAATACTGATAAAATCAATACTGATAAAGAAGAATGCAATTGGATAACAATTCGTTCATTTCTTTGAAATAAATAAAAATAAACAAATTAGCTAAATGTTATGCATAAAATACCGAATCGTTGTCTCGTTCAATTAAATGACCTTTCATTGACCCTTCGATCTCTACATTTCCTTTGAGACTTTCCTTCATTTTCATATTTTTGCAAAAAATTTTCTAAAAGGGACATTTTCCGGAAATTTATTTATATTACTTCATTTTTTTAAAGAAAAAGTTTCTCCGGAAATATTTTGAATAAGTTTTATATCACTTTTAAATTGATTTCAAATACCATTTGCATTAATAGCATCACAGAATGTCGCCTTCGCTGGCTAGGACACGTTCTTCGTCGCCCCACCACAAGAGTTAACACATTTCGTTACTTGCTAAACCCTTATGTCATGGGTGGTTTCAAAAGCGAGACGAGCCAATCAAACCTGGACTGATACACTCAGGAAAGATTTTGAACACATAGGTGGACCAGCAATATATGGACTTGGATGATGGAAAAAGGAGTGGCTTCTATTGCGGTCGACGATGGCATCAGACCGCGCCGCTTGGAAACATTTTACCTTTGTAGCCAGTGGAGCCAGCCTAACCAACGATGGTGAGAAGTTAGAAAAAGAAGAAGAACATCACTGAATCTTGCAAATGCCATTTGTTCCACCATTTTTATTTCGGTTAATTTTACGTATTATTAGGATAAGAATAATTTCTAATGGAGTCACTCGGCAGTTCTCAGTACCACAGATTCCATCTTTAATGGCAAATAGGAACACATTGCAACACAAAAAAGTAGGAACGGAATCTAAGATCGTGGTTTGCCTCATTCAATGCAGCATTCGCTCTCGCTCGTTCCGTTCATCCATTCAGTTCTATTCAAAGTAGCAGTTACCACTACCAACGACAGGTTTGGACTCGGACCGATGAATACACGTAGGGTGCATAAGATCCATTCTGAAGTGCAAATCTACAAGTATGGTTCACTAGAAAGCTTTATTTATAAGCATGATTCGTTCTGAAAGGTAAAACCCAGAAGCACCTCACACTCTCTGCACTGAATCCCTAATTGCCATTTAGCACCACGCCTATCCCCTCAAACGCTTTCATTGGCTGCTAAATTGTGGCATGCGTACCCTTAATGCGCTCTAATCGCTCGGAATTAACTACTCGGACGGGCGAAGAGAGTATTTATGATCAACAAAGCGTAATTGAGCTGTCGAAAGCGAAAGAAAGCGTAATCGAACCACTCTGTGGGGTTTGACTGTGCAGAATTTAATATTTAGCTGCTATTGTCGGAATGATTTAACTGTCAGCTTTTGGATATTTGCGGTTTGTGTGTGTGAAAAATTGCTGTGAGCGGTGCTGAGGTGCGTGCTTATCGAAGTCGAAGTGTGAGTTTCTTGTTTCATTTAAGTAAGAATTCGTTAAGAATAAATGAGAAAGTTGTTTAGAATATTTTATGAATTGGCGGATTTTTGCTATCGACGAATTTTATCGATTTCGCTGAGTGATATTTAATAATATTTGCAATTAAATAAAACTCGAATATTTTCATTGTTTAAAATAGATTTCTTAAAGAATTAACTATTGAGTATGCGAAATAATTCCCACCGATTTTCCCACCGATTTTCACCAATCGAATGAATGAAAGCCAAAATATGAGGGGAAGTTTTTCTTGATTGGCGTTTGTGAACTTTCCGAGTACCTTTGGGAAGCGCCATTAGTGCAGTTGCAACGCAGCGGTCGCGTGCCGCATAGGTCAGTGCAGCTGAATTTCAGTGAGTTAGAAAACTGAATTCACTAATAAAATAGAAATAATTCGAAAGGGTTCTGCTATTCAAAAAAATAATGCAAGACCAAGTGACAAATGCAATGGAAAGTGCCCGAGAAGCCGCTGCAACTGTTGGTGAACGCGTTAGCGACTTCTTTCAAGGAAACCCTTTTGCAACGCCGTGCGGTCGCAAAGTCGGTTCGTTTTTTTGATTAAAGTCATTTTCTGCTCGCTTTCAGCTGTCTGCTTCGCTGTCTTGTATGTTTATTTATATATATATATATATATATATATATACATCACATTGTTTAATACTAATTTTTCTACTATACTAGTTTACTACTATACTAATTAATACTAATTTTTGTACACTGTAGTAATAGTGCCAGTAATAGTGCTTATCTTATCGCAAGAGGTTCTCTACACTAGAAATGTGCGATTTTCTCAGAAGGCATGGAAGGATTGCCTCTCAGATGGGTCAGATATGTAATTATAACGCTATTTTCCTGCTTTGAATTGAATCGAAATTTTGTAGATGTGCCTCAGTTTTTTATTTTTTGGATTTGATAATTTTGGTCTAATTAGTAGTTCTATAAAATAAAATTTTAATATTTCTATAAAAATTTGTAGATTTTTCTACATAACTAAACATTTGGATTGAAATGTTAAATTTTTGTAAAATTCTGTTTAAAATGCTGCAATTTCTTCACTTTTTTGCTATAACTATAAATTAATAAGTTCGTTTTGCATACTTCAACCTCTAATTTTAAATAAATTTGTTTCTTAAATTTGATAAATTCTCATTTTTATCATTATCATTTTTATCATTGTTTTTAAACCTGGTAATTTTTTTCATGAATTAAAGGAAAAAAGTGGAGCTTTGTGTAAATGATAAAATTATTTTCGTTTGATTTAAAATATTAAATATTTTTATTTAATGTTTTTATTTAATTTAATTTTTATTTAATATTTTTATTTTTATTTATATTAATATTTAAAATATTTTTTTTTTTGCAATTTCAGTTTTTCAAATTGTGAAAGCTATTATTCTTAAAATGTTATTTTTACCATAAAGATTTCGGGTTTATAGAAATGGCTACGGACGCTTCGATTTTAGCAACTGAAAACTGGGGCTTAAACATGGAAATTTGCGATTTTATTAATAATACTCCTGAAGGGTGAATTTATCAGATTTGTTTTTTGTTTCTTTAAATGAATTCTTATTTTAGAATATTTCTTTCAAGAATTTTTTTTCGGCTTTTTGATGGAAAAAACTAAAAATATGTTTGAAAAATATATCTTAATTTTTCAAAAGTTTATTTAAACTATTGAAATTGAAATAAAAATCATAGTCATTTTTAATACCTTATTTCGTAATATTTTAATTTTATTAAATCTTCATTGATGTAATATCAGTTTTATAAATTTTTATACATTTATTTATCCGTTGGCATATTTTCAGAGGTCGAGATGCTATACGAGCGATTCGTAAACGTTTACATACACAAATGTCTAAAAATAATGCAATTGTTATGTATACTTTAACAGTACTTGAAACATGTGTGAAAAATTGTGACATCACCTTTCATGAATTGGTTTGCCAAAAAGATTTTATTAATGAATTGGTTAAATTAATTGGACCGAAATTCGATGCACCACAAATCATACAAGAACGAGTTTTAAGTCTAATCCAAGTAAGATTTTATAAAAATTTCAATATAAATTTGACTGTATAAATTTTTTCACTTTTGCATTTTTATAAAATCTTATTTTAAATAAATATGTGTTACATATATTAAAATTTCACGATCGACTGTTTCCGCTTCGCTCTCTTTTTTGGAAATTTTTAAAATTTCTATAAACAGTAAGTTCTTTTTGAATTTTAAAGCAGAATTAAAAATCAAAGTGTACGTATGTATCTGTAAATTTTAAATGAAATGGAAACAGTAAAATTAAAAAATAAATTTGATTTATTATAAAGGTAATGCTTTTAAATTTTTTTTTATTTTTACTTTCTGTTCTATTTTTTTTCCCCTTAATTTTATTTTCTTTGGTTTTGATAGGAGTAAATCTATCATAATTTCAAAAATCCAAGTGGCTGCTGGGGATCTACTTATAATTCTCCATATCATTCTATTATAATGCACATGGTATCCCCGGTCTAATGATACGTGCGATGAGTGTACAATCCGAATGTAGTAAAACGATTCCAAGGCTTGAGAATAAGATATGCTCTTCAGTCAGGATAGGATCGAAATTGTTCGTCAACGGAAACGAAAAATTGTCCGTCGTAGCACTTTGCACACGCAGCGAGTTGTCAGTGGAGCTTTGGAACGTTTTTGCATTGCAAGCCAAGTGATTACTGTTCACATTTCTTTTAATTATCATTTGGATTTCGCTTAGCGGATGTTCATTTTCTTCATATTGGGTCTCCAGCAATTAATCTGGCTTCAAGCAAAGATGTTTTTCTATATCATTGTGGTATTCCTGGTGAAATATGAACAATATGAAATATGAATGGGTGAAATGGCGTTGCCATCGTCACATTTGAAAAAGCTCAATCTATTGAGATATATATATATATATTCCAACTTTGAATGCAGATGACCAAGATAAGAATAAGATGCGAAACTTGCGAAACTTGCGAAACTTCAATTGTTAATAATATCTTTATCAAAAAGTGACATGGTCATAATGGGGAGAAACTGGGATGCACGCGATACCTTGCAAATATGGCATGGAGGTCCAATGCGCCCATGTGCCTTCGCTTTGCGGAACTTTTTTTTTTAATACTTGCTTTCTTTAATACTTTAATACGGCATCGTAGAAGATATCTAACCACATGAAATTCCACGGATAACGAACACTCCATCTAGACTGATTATATTTTAATCAGTCGTCGTTGGAAGAGCTCCGCACTAAGTAATCGTTCCTTCCTATCGGAGAACTGAAATTGGTAACTTTTATTGATCAGATTGATCGTTTTATGGTTCGATCCAGATTCGCATAAGGAACGGATGAATACCCCAAGTAAAGGCATGTCCCTAATATCGGCCGCTACACACTAGGATATAGGCTGTAGTGGGAAATGTGCTAGTTGGGTATCGGAGACAACTGTCCAACTGTCAGAAAACATTGCCAAAGCATGAATATCAGAATATCAAGTATCTGTAGAAGATTCTGATAATCAGATGCTTCGAAGAATTATAACAACTCCAGCACGGCGGTAGAGAAATCTCTATTTTAGTGATACGACCTTGAAAATGGTGACGACAGCTCGATTAGGCGTTAATAGGAAATTATTCTATGAAACATGGGGGATGGTCAGTGAAACAATCGGAGATGGATTATAGATCGTCTAGTAATCTTGTAAAGTAAAAGGGATTCTTTGAGGCCAGACTTAACCGTAATGTGCCATTTCTTGTCTTTAATACATATCCTGAATCAGTCGTCGGGCCATATGTTTGCAACTATGAACCATTAGCAGAAATAATTCCTATTGCCCAGAAGTTTAAGGCCAGTAAACTCCTGGAGATGATCTTCGGAACGAAATCTTTAGATGTTGTCCATTAGCTTTCATAACTCATCTTCAACAAACGTACTATCTGTTATAGAAGAAATAATACCAGGTGACTGGAGTAAAACAATTGTACTTATAATTCAGAACCAGAAGAGTGACAGGATGTATTGCGACGATTACCGTATAATCAGCCTAACAGATTTTTCGATATCTTTCTAACGTCTAATTTTATGGTAGTACGAGACAACAGGTTGCATCCTAACCAAGCTCTGTTTTGTCTTGGACGCAATTGGTACTGACGAAATGCGGAGGATGTCATGTTAGAATATCAAGTATCTGTAGCCCACCGTATCTGTAGCCTGTTTTATCGACTTTGCTGTTGCCTTTGATTCAATTGGTAGAACGGCTTTGGAGGAATGATGGAATGTGTTCCAGAGAAAGTCGACTCATGAAAGTATTTTATCAGCATACCTCGATATAGATCTGTGTATATGGGGAAATGACAGACTCTTTCAATATAAGAAGTGGTGTCAAAACTGCATTTTTCCGTAGAATATTCAATTATGCTATAGGCTGGATGACGGACATCGCTTTTCGTTATACGATAGTCGTACAAACCAGTCCAGAGCATCGTATCACAGATTTTGAATGCACTGATGATGTAGTTTTTTTTGCTGGCAGTTAAGACGAAATGCAATTAATGTGTTGTGTTGACTCAATGTAAGGACTTTTCGTCTCATATACCAGAAGCTGTGAAAACAGCAATTTTTATCAATTCATTGCCAGTTGAGAAAGTGGCAGATTTTAAGTCTCTTGGTCCACTAATCCCATGCGGTCAAATGAAAGACAAAATTATAACCGATAATAGTTACTAGAAATGTGTTTCTTCTAGTTGCGAAACGTTTATGGGATCGCGAAATCAACATAAAAACGAAACTCCGAGTATATATAGCTGCGAGACATGGAAAATGAGAAAATGAAGGATATTAGGAAACCTTCACATTTAACATATATTTTACAGTTTCGCCAAATCTTACATGATTGTCCATCTTTGTTCATCTATCACTTGCATTTGCAGTACTGTCGCAGAGTACCATTATAGAGGATGGCCTGTTAGGGCATTTTTTCGCTAAGCCTTATGGCAAATGGACATTGAAGCGAGGAAGACCTGGAGTGGTACAGCTAAAAAAATTTTGAACGTATAGGTGGACCAGCAATATATGGATTTAGACGATGAAAAAGAAATGGCTTCTATTACTGTTAATGATAGCATCGGATCGAAAAGCTTGGAAATGTCTTACTCTTGTAGCTAGCGAAGACGAAGACAATTCAACCACTAATGATGACTGAAGAAGAAGAAATAAGATTTATTTTGCATATTTTTTTGAATATATTATTATCTTCCATTTTTCATTTTGGAATGGAAGATAATCTCAGAAATTGAAAAAAATTGAAAAATGAAAAATTATTTGCAGTCGTGGAATGATGCATTTCGTGGCGAACCTCGGTTACAAGGCGTTTGTCAAGTATACGAAGAACTGAAAGCCAAGGGCGTTGAATTTCCTATGACTAATCTTGACAATATGGCTCCAATAATAACTCCTAAGAGAGTAAGTTGAATGCGTAGTTCCTTGTTTCTCTTGCTTTTTTTATTTTTTTATCGTTTAAATTGTTAGCAGTGCTTGTGTTAATTCCTAAACTAACAGGGGTTCATTTACTTTTAATGGATTTCGGAAATATTGGATCATTCTAGGATTCTATACACTTTCCTTTTAAAATTTCCAGATTTTTTGAATTTTTGTTCAATTTTTCATTTTGTTCAATTTTTCATTTCATTTCATTTCATTTTTCATTTTTCATTTTGAATTGTTGTGAATTGTACATTGTGATTGTTTTGTGTTCAGACAGTATTTTCTACTCCAACGGATCGTTTAACGGATTCGAACTTCTCGGTAATTTTTTAAATCAGTTTTGGAGCTTTAAATTTAATCATTTTTTTTGTAAATATGTATAATTGTATGATTATTCGTATTACCTGGAATTCTTTGGTCGTGTTTTATCGTGTTTGATTTGTTTTTTTTTTATATGTTCAGTTTCTATACATATAATCAGCTTAAAATAATTTTTTTACTATGATATTTCGAAAAATAATATTATGTAAAGCTCCATTTAGCATTTTAGCATGCGGTTCCGCAAAATATACTTGATCCATCGCAACACGTCAGGCCTACGTCTAAGCAACTTGAAAAATTGAGGAAAGAGTTAGACATCGTCAATAATAATCTTAAGGTAATTCCCTTTATTCTTCTTTTTATTTTTTTAATTTGATTGAATTTGATTGATTAATTTGATTAATTTGATACGAATTTTAATTTGATTCTAATGTTATCTCGATTGCACATTTAGTTTTGCATATTTTTTATATTATAATTTCTTTTCGGCTATTCAATATTCAATATTTTTAAGTACGTGACCGATTGTGTTTGAGATGATCATTCATTCTTTTCTAAGGTCTTGCGTGAAATGTTATCAGAACTGGCACCTGGTAAAGAACAGCCAGATGATATGGAATTACTTGTTGAATTACATGCAGTTTGCAAGCAGATGCAGCAACGCATACTTGACCTTATTCGTTCAATTGTTAATGAAGAAGTTACTTGTAAGTTTTTTTAAATTTATCTGGATGTCTTACAAATTTTTTTCCTTATTCCAGTTTATTTTTCATGAAAAATTTAAAAATGCAAACATTAATATGTTCTTGCATTTATGTGTTCATTTTTGTATATTTAGATGAATTGCTTATTCTTAACGACGAATTTAATAATGTCTTTGAAAAGTATGATCGTTATATGTCAAATCGATCAAGTGGAAATAAAGCAAGTGATTCTCAGTTAGTTGATACTGAAGAACAGAGGTTTAATGAGCAGTTAGAAGCCATGCACATCACTAATGCCAGACATACTCGCCAGAGGTCAAATCTTAGCAAATTTTAAAATTTTACTTATTTTCTTAAAAGTTATTTTCTTAAAAGTCCTCTATTATTAGCTAAAATTTGTTTATTTTTAGCACGGAAACAATTTATGCTGAAAATTCAACAAGATTAGATCAGGCGAAAATTGGCCTCGCGAAGGCTGCATTTAATAAATCAGCTTTAATGAGCGATAGAGAAGCCGATGAAATATCTCAATGGCTAGAAGCACAAGAAACAAAGTGCAATCCCACAGTCAGAAATCCTGATGTTCCTACTGGTATTTTTTAATGTTATCAAGGCTCAAAGTGGTCAATTGTTAGAGGAATCGATTTTAGTTCAAAATATTGTAGGATTAGTAAATCAGATTTATAAAACGGCCTTAGAGATATTCAGAGGCAAATCTCGTCATAATGTTATTTATTTTAGAATTCGATCCATTAATAAAAAAAGATGACAAGAACGATGGGCTGTGATTGTTACTATTACATTTGAGCGATTGTTTCGTGTATTTTCTGGTATTCCTAATACTTTTTTCATGATTGTGCTATTTTTTATGCTTTAGCTCACTTATTTCTATTTCTGTTTGCATTTTTCTATACTATTTTTTGGTTATAGTTTTGAGAAGCGAAAAAAGTGTCCTTCTGGGAAGTATTATTCTTTGGAGAATCCTCGATATTCCTTTTTTCCTTCTTTACATGATAAAAGTGCACAAATTTTGTCACTCTTTGTCGTAATTATTTATTATTAATTTGGATGCAAAAATAATTCTGAGAATTGCTGTTCATTGCGGTGTTTTATATTAACGGGAGCTTTTTTTGTCATCATTCTAATTATCTATTTTGTTATATTTTTTAATGTGATATTTTGGTATAATAATATATTTTGGTATGTGATATTTAAAAAATAATGAATAATGCTTTTTGTAAACAATAATTCTAGTCGGTATAAATTTTAGTATTTTATGGCTTTTTTTGTATAGCATAAAATAATTTTGGTAGAAAAATGAATTTTTTCAGGCGCAGGAAATGATAACATTTGCAGCAATAGGTATATTCAAAAAATTAGAATAATCAGAGGAATGGGAAATTGCAAATTTTTAATAAATTAGGGAATGTATTTTAAAATGTTCCACTTTTACGTACAATTTTCTATTTGCTGTTTTAATATTTTTAAGATAACAAAAGTGAATAAGAGAAAAAGATTGTCGTAAGATCGCAGTCAATTTTTACAATGAACAAAAACGTTTGGTAAATGCTAGTTAGATTAGACTCTGCAATTCATTTTATTTATTAATAGCTGATGCGACAGAATGGACATGAAAAATGGTGGAAAAATGGTGGAAACATTAGAATTTTTGACAGGCACTATGTAAAATCCTTTTTGAATACGGACACCGAATGAAATCTTGGTTATTTATCGCTAAATTGCAATTTCTGCACGTCGTTTGTTCATCAATAACTACGCGACAATGAGCTGCCTTCGAAACTTCTTTTTCATTATATTTCACGGCGTTCGAAAGAAACTTTAATTAAAATAATAAAAATAACTTTTCCAACAATGTAATAATAATAAAAAGAAATTCGCAAATTTAAAAAGTGGATGAAAAAATTGTTTTGGCAATGCCAAATTGAATTTAATGAAATTGTCTTTTAATAATTGTTTAAAAGTATTTTAAAATATTAATTTCCTCAAAAAGTTGGGGCATTTTCGCGTTATTTGTTTTGGAAGACCATAATTTTTGAAAATCGACCCATTCAAATTAAACACTTTTTAACCAGTACACCAGTATATATTGCTAATGTTACAGGTGCATTCCATTAGTAGTTTCCAAGGTGAATCAATGAACTGCTGGAAATTATTTTAGCATCTTCCTGTTTCCGAAAATATTTCTCCAAAAGTTATCAAAAGAACGAATAAAATGAAAGCCTGTTAGCAAAAAAGGTTGGGAATATAGTGGATTAGAGGACTTCGATAATCAACTTAGTATATTTTTGGAAAGAGAGATTCTTGAAAGAGATGCGATACTTTCTACCGAACAGTGCTAATTGTTTGTAGTTTCTGAGAACTATTTCTAATTCTGCACGATTCACGATTCTGTTAAAAAAATACTTGTCAAATTATTACACCATTACAACCGACCTTTTCATGCTGTCCTATATAATTCATTTCTTATAAAAATCCATCCTAAAAAAAAATCGTTTTTGTGTCGCATTATAACAGTCGCATTATCTATCATTATTTAATCCTCAGTCTCTTCCTGATTATTTCCCCACTGCAAGCAAGTGATTCCATCCGCTGAGTTTCCAAGCTCTTGCACTTTTTTTAAAATCATGAACAAGTATTTCCGGAATCCTACACCAAGTCTTTCAGAAATTTATTTGAGCGCCACCCACAATCAGGAAGTGACTGACACCCACAATGCGAAATATCCATATTCGAATCTCATGAATCATTTTCTCACTGTTCTTTCCTTAGTAACATTGCCACAAAAAAATTTGTTTGCATACTGCGAATCGCCTCTATAGCTCGATGCCATCAGTTAAAACCTGTGAAGCCGACAATCACGGCGAATCATACCGATGAATTAAATCAACCAAAAAAAATTACAATTCTATCTACAGTTCTAATGAAAAGACATTAGTGACAAGGCGAGGATATATGACATGACAGCCACTGTGACAATAAAAATGTGGCCCCAAAGCCAAAGTGGTCCGAATTTTTTTTTGGAAGACCTAATATTTTATAAAAAATTAATAATTTATCAAAAAATAATTACTATAACGATTATTTTAAAAATTAAAATATCGTAAATCTTCTAAAAGCTTACAGAAAGTTTTAATAAATTAGTGTGGAAGCAATTATCTGACGATATGATAGCCTTTGATGCATAGAATTTTATTAGTGATAACGACCAATCACTCGGCATCTGACTGATTATATCAACAGCGTTCACGGGATTATTTATTGAATTCAATAGTGAAACGATTCGCCCTTGAAATTCTGGATATGTTCTATAATAAAATAGAATTGAGCGTTAATATGCACGTCAAAAAAAAAAATGATTCATTTTATTTTGTTCGAGATCTAAAATTTTCCTTGCAATTTATTCATTACTGGAAAAATACTGAAAAGAAAATAAAAAATCTGAAATAAATGAAAAAACCTAATAAAACCTAATAAAAAATGAAATAAAGATGTACGATAAGCATTAAATAAACTAAATTAAACTAAAATTTTCTTGAAAACATGGAGACTGATTTTATCTTTAAATTAATTAAATTTCACTAAGCTTAACTTTCCTTGAATAATTAAAGAACGACTTTACCTTACCCAACTGCCATCAATTAAGCACCTTTTTTTTAAATTAATTCTAAAAAACAGACTGTAAATTTTGAAGATAAAATTTGATTAGAAACTGAAATATTCTTTGATGAAATGAATGCATATGAAAACAGAATAATTCGGCTGCTTCGTAATCTTCATATTCGTAAAGTAAAATTTTGAGGCATTGTTCAGCATTTGAAATCTAAATTAAATAAATAAAACAAGCAATAACATGTTCAAAAATCCAAAATTGATGTAAAAAAATTTATTTTCAACAGTCATCATATTTTGTAAAATATCCAAACTTCCTCAATTCCATTTCAACAATTTATTGTTGAAGATTCTTTGAAAATTGACTTGCTCAATACCAATAGAATATTTTTAAAAAAACATACCTTTCCTATTAGAAAAGCACGTTCTACAGCAAAATTGCCCGATTTCAATTCCGTTTCTACTTTGTAAATATCAAAAAGAGTTGATTCAAGAAGCATGTTACGCAATGAAAACCTATAATTCCGACATAAATCTTCACCAATTATATTTTCAGAAGCTTCCATTTTTTTGATTTCGTTAATATAACAAATGACCAGCTTCGTATGGTATTCTTTGATCTGCAGAAAAAATAATTCAAAATTATGGACAGTCTAATATCACAACTACCGTTTATCTTTCTTTTTTTTCCAGGAAAAAAGTAAAAAAGAAATACTTCACGAGGCTTTATGCGCTCCAAATAATATATCAATTCATTTGGATACTGCTCCAATAAAATGATAACTTTGGTTGGATCAATTTTTAATATTGTTTGCTGATTGAATTGTCGAACAACGTTTGGAGTACCGATTTTCAACAAAAGTGCCATCCAATTGAATAAATCATTTTCATCACTGATACTATAAAAAGTGAGTTCGACTATAACATCAAGCCATTAAATGTCAAACTGTCGATAAAATTCGATATAACTTCAAAAAAAATTAAGGAAATTTGAGGAAAAACCTCGATAAGTTTTGGAGACAGAAATCGACGAAATTATCATCATCAAATTTTTTTTCCTTGAATAACCGTTCACACAAATCATAAGCAATAAAGTATCGACCACAAGAAAACGCAAGGCTTGCGAGAAATTTTTCTTTTTTACCAGCAATAAGCCATTGTTCATTATCATCATATGAATAATCATTAGCGAAATCGTCCTTTTCAAGAAAAACTTTACGCATCGATAATAATCTCAACGAAACTGCATCTAAGTCCTAAAAAATAGTTAGAAATATAAATTTAAACATTCATGAAACAAATTACACAAAAATTAAAAGAAAAACAAAAAAAAACTTGCGAGATTATTATTAAAGTATCACAGAGTAGTATTCCAAGAATTAAAAATAAGCTCATAAAAGGAGAACTCGATGAAACGCCGACGATAATGCGACGGTTTTGAGGAATTATAACAAAATTTATACTTGGAATTGAAAATGTTTGAGAAAACGAAACGGAACTAATTCTTTCCTGGACAAGAATATGGAAAATATTACTCAAAGAATTGTCTTATTGTATCTTATATTTCTTAGACTTATTCGAACTTCGTACTTTTAATGAGTTTGAAAAATTCATTTTAAGGAAATTTGTAAATTTTCAAAAAAATTTCTTCTGTTTTTCTTTTCTTTTGACGTGGTCTATTACTGCAATACTGGATTCAGTTGTTAAATGGTAGTCTTCGTTGTATTCAGTAAACGACGTGTGGACTAAAGTCTAAGGATTCGAGGCTCTGAAAAGGCTCAAATCGTAACAGCCATAAGAGAGGTGAAAAAAGCGAAAATTATTTTTGAGAAAACTCAAGGTCTTCAACGTAAGCTCACTCATTAGTACGAAATGAAGAGAGAAATTTCTGATGCAATTTTGCGAAAAATTGCTCAGGAGGGGAATTTAATAAGGATACAGCTTTAAAGAGCCATAAATAGCTATGAGATGATTTCAGCGAATTAATGAAAGTTCAACACGTCGTTTACTGAATACAACGAAGACTACCATTTAGCAATTGAATGCAGTATTGGAATAGTAGACCATCTTTTCACGTCAAAAGAAAAGAAAAACAGAAGAAATTTTTTTGAAAATTTACAAATTTTCTTAAAATGAATGTTTTTCAAATGAAATTTTTCAACTCATTAAAAGTACGAAGTTCGAATAAATATTTATAAAATATATAATAAAAAACTAACTCGATAATAATCTTTCGCCCAATATTCATTTCTAATAGTATGAATATATTCATTTAAGAAATTTAAATAATCAGATGAAGAAACATCGACTTCGGCATTCTTTATTTCAAATTCAAAATTTGAAGGCAATGGAAGAAAATGCTGATAATAAACCATAATCTGAAAAAATAAATCGTATTAGTACCCCGAAAATCAAAAGCCCTGGTAAAACTGGCAAAACTTAAATAACGTTGAAGAATAACTAAAAAAAATGAAAAAACATCTAAATTAAATCTAAATTAAATTAAATTAAAACATAAAACGAAACCTTTCTTGGGTCCATTTCGGAAGATACGGCCAACTGAGAACAATCGAGAAATTTTTTGGTCAAGAAGAATGATATTGCCGCCTTTTGCTTTATGGTATTCACCCTCTTAAAATTTCTATAGAAAAAATCTAAAGTTATAAAATCTTGTTAAATCGATGGATTCGCTTCTTTTGGTAAAAAGTACTAAATAAAAATATTAAAAATTACGAAATTAATGGAAAAAATACAGAAATTTGAATTTCATCATATCGACCATTTATTAATGCATTCTCAGATAGTTGTAATGCTTCTTTTACTTGACCTTTTTCAAGAAGAGCTTCAGCCTAAAAAACTCATTTGCTTTTTTTTCAAATAAGATATTACTTGCGATATCGAAAATCAAATCCTATCGAAAATATATTTCAGATATTTCATAAATCGGTTTTTAAACAAATAACCAAAAATTGTAAATAAAAAAAAATGAAAAAGCACTCGATGAAACCATAAAATTTCACAAAGAATATTAATAGAAGTTGAAGAGCAAAGCACAATCTGACCATCAATATTCCGTAAAATGCAACATTCAGCAACAACCAACTTCTGTATTTCACTGACGTTTTTGCAGCTAAAGTATAATTGTTTATCCGATTTAATGCAAAACATTTTTGATATTTGGAATTGAATAAAAACTTATAGATTACCAACCCCTATATGCCCATGTTTCTCATAAAGATCAGGATGGGCACAGTGTGGAAGGATAATGCTAATTCTATAATCCCAGTAATTCTAGATTTACGAATACTTACGAAAAAATATTCAGAGAAGATGAAGTAAGAACAAATATATAGGGAGATCGATATGCCAAGGAAATAACAATACCACTGCCCCAAAACAATGGTGGTCGGGAAGAAACTCCATTTGACGTTGCAAAAACTCCCAAACCTTGCATTCCATTGACTAGAAATTCTTCCTAAATTTAAAAAAACGCTTAAAATTTAAAAAAAATAAAATGATTCAATATTAGAAACTGCTGGAAAAAAACTTCTGTATAAAAAGAAAATCAAATTAATTTTGAAAAAATTCTGAAAATAAATCTGATAAGATAATAATTATTACAAAATTTTAAAGAATAATAAAAAGGATAAAAACGAAAATGTAGCTTGCAAAATTGTAAAATTATAAAATCTGTCCAAGCTTTTCAATTTTTGCTTTATTCCTGATATGAAAAATACTAATTTTGAGTTAAACCGGGAATGACGCGACGATTTCAATTAATACGCTCACAAACGATTCATAATTCTTCAAACTGATTCTCATCACTACTGGCTAGGCTGACTCCTCTGGTTACAATGGTAGGCCGCTTCTAAGTTGACCAACCCAACGCCATGCTTAATATTAAAAAAAGCTATTTCTTGTTCCATCGCCTAAGATTCTTTATCGTTCGGACACCTATACAATCAAAATCCCTTCTGAATGTGTATCAGCCAGGTCATGATTGGCCGTTCTCGCTTCTGATGGGCGGTTGAAAAAAGCTACTTCTTCTTCCATCCCCATTCAACAGTGCTTTAACAAACAGCGAGATATATTAATTCCTGCAATGGGAAATGAAGAACATGATCTAACTAGTGTAGGTCTAACTAGTCTAATGTATAGGTGACCTATCTGTGACGATATTTTGAATTTAGATAGTATTTGAGCGAAGATATTTTCCACTCTCACTGACCATGTTTTGCGGTTATATAAAAAATGGTGCATATTACAGCCAGATAAATAATTACTGATTCTTCTTATTACTAATTCTTATTACTGATTCACAATAACAATTTACTTCATTCGAATCTTGAAACTAAATCTTAATCTTACAACTTTTTGTTAGTAAAAGGAAAAAATAAATGAATGGCTGTTGTCAATATAACCAAAAAACAGTGATAACATAATTTTAAAAATGACAAACCGTATCAATGGTGATGACAAGTGGTCGAATAGTTTGAAGATCATAAGGGAACAGAGACTGCATTGTATTATTAGTAATGTTAAAAATATAATAAGAATTTGCCATAGCAAAACAAATACAGTTTCGATTATAAGCTAATGTTTCAACGTTACTTTCAAGCGAAATCTTTCGTCGAATAAGCATATCTTCGCCAGTCTTTTCACAGAGCAACAGTTGACGATTTGACACAGAAAGTACCAACTGCAACATAAAAGGATCGTCCAATACTGGAGAACTATTAATTGCTATTGATAGAATATTTGACATTGTGCTTGAAGTTAGTATCTGAAAATTCATAAAAATACATGAAAAACTCTATAATAGTAAATGCATAATAATAATAATAACAATAATAATAATAACTGAGATAGGAAGGAGATCCCATTTCTTCTCTTTTCTTTCACTAACTGATTCTTTTAGAAGATACTTCGTTATGCTACTCTGGGCATATTAATTTTAATTTCAACTATTTCAATATTTATAAAATTTGTACAAGTTTATGCAATTTGCAACCTTCATAGAAGACATTTCAACATAAAATAGTGTTGAAGCAGATAAAACAATCAAACAATCAACGGCTGTTGCACTTATTAATTCAATGATCGCTGATTTCTAAAAAAAAAAAAAAAAACTTAATTATTTAGTATAATAAAGTAAAACATCGATTAATCGATTAAAAACGCAAAAAAAACAAAGAAAAATTATAGAAATTTATATAAAGCCTAAGCTAAAGCCTATTCCAAAAAAAGGAGAGCAATATAGTGACAGTGGCAGAATCTCGAATCAGCAAAAAAAGAGTTATCGGCGATAGGGTGTTAAAGAAATACAACAGAGTTTGGGAATATCAAACAGTAACGAAGTTCTGATAAGAAAATGTAACCTGCTAAAATCACTAAAGAAGTCTAGGCAAACACAGAGTTTTCAATGGATTTTGCTTATTAGAAATCTGCCACTATCATAATATTGCTTTCAACAAAAGGATAAAGAAGATTTGGTGGGCAAATAAGACAATAAAAAGGAGTTCGAAAGAATGTTACTGCAAATAACAAAATTTGAGAGTAGTTAAGGGAGATATATCGAAACGATGGATATGAAAAAGAATAGGATTTGTTAGATGCTGATAGAGTAGAAAAGAGATAGTTTGGGAGTATTAAGAGGAGAAAACCCAGGTGCAAGGGAAGTTAAAAGAATGTAAAGGAATCCACTGGGATTTAACGATGTTGGGACCTTTTTTGGATAAAAAGTGGCAAATCACAATATTATATGGATGACAACAATTAGTAACTGGCCAATTAATGTTATTTCAAAAACGATTTATCAGATATACTATAATGAAATAGGAATGTAAAATGAGTATAATCTTAATGTGAAAAAAATGCCTGAAAATAAGAGCGAAAAAAATTCTACCGTTGGTAATTGTATAATTCCCTTCGACGCGAAATTCGTTTCTATATTCATACAGATAATTTTGCCAAAAGTTGTTCCAATAAATAAACAACATGGACTTCCTCCAACACAACATATCTGAAAAACTTTTCCAGTCATTATTCGTTATAAAATATCATAATAAATATCTTCAAAACTAAAGTTATAATGTGCTAAAATTCTGGTGGGTAGCTACGATTACACAGGACAGGACGCACAGGAATGCGCATATCTGAGTCAGTGCACGCGAGCACGAGGTGTGTAATACGCGAATGCGTGGGCAACAAGTGAAGAAAAAATGAATAAAAAAATTTTAAAAAATATAAAAAACAAAGAATGGCAAAAATATAAAATATAAAAAATATAAAAAAATATAAGATGAACAAATGACCTTTTCACCATCCAATAACCCTTTTAATTCACGTGTTTCTTGAATTTTAAATAATTCATCCATAAAAAAGTTATATTTCTGAAAAAATAATAATGCAACATAAGTTTCGATCCAAAGCTTAGATCATCAAAAGAATGGTACTCTTCGATTAATTCAACAGCACCCGGAAGTCTTGTCATCGCCTCTTCTCCTCCTTATTTTCCTTTAATTTTTTATTGAACCTCTTTATTCCCCTACTTTCCATTGTAATTTAACTTAATTTTCCGTTTCGCACCAGTATGCTTTTTGCTTTCTTAATAATTCCACAGCACAAATCAACAAATCACCAAATTCAACAAATCAACATTGTTAATATCCACATAATTAAGTAGAAAGAGCAAATCACTGCTTCTGGTTAAGTGTGCTCTGCTCTCTGTTAAAACTGTTTGAAACATTTTGCCTATTTGAAGATAAAAGTAAAATACAAGCCATCAACACTCGAATTTTTAATTTAAACGCGATAACTTAAGCCACTATCTACTCAGTTCTCCGGCCGAAGCACTTGAAGAATACCGAGAAAACATTTTTATTATTTCAGTCTTTGAATTACTAATACAGATTTTCATAACCTTTCGAATTTATTCATGAAAATATTTTCCATCTAAAATTCAAATCACGAATTCGTAGACAATCGTTTAAAATTGGAGTGTCTCGATATGCTAAAAGGAATTACTCACCACTAATAAGAATTTTAATTTAGTGGACCAAAGAAAGAATTTATTAAAAAGGAAATTTCCAGGAAAATAAAATCGAATCCATCAACAAATAGGTCACAACAATAATATTAAAATAATAAATTAAAAATAAAAAAAGAACGAAAATCATACAAGGTAATTTTTTACGAGAAATTAAATAAAATTACGAAGGATCAAAAGAAAAACTGGATATTAAAAACATTTCAAAAAGCACATTTGAAATTTTTGATGATTATCACAAAATTAAGGAATATGAAAATGTTATTAGCTAACATTGATGGAGAAAATCTATATAGGGTCTTCCCTTTGAAATTAAATAACCATAACTAATAATTATGGTAATATTTCACGGAAGATTTTAAAAATACTTAATCCTTTCTCTTGAATTTAATGCAGTTATCCGCTCAACCCATAATTTTATAAGAAAATAACAATGCTTTCTTTTTATTTGATAATATAAAGTAGTAATTTTTATTATCCTTTTTTTTCCCTATTATTTTCTCTATTTGTTTAACCAAATCTATCCCACTACTGCCGTATTTTCTACTCAAAAATTGATATAGCCCGACCTATATTTCGTATTATATCAACTCAATATTCTCCTACGTATGCCGTACACTTTTTTATCATTAAGCGTTCGTATCAGCTAAAATGAAAGCATTAACTGATTAATAACAGATTAACAATACACTTGAAAAATTACTTTACACAAATGAAGAAATATAAGAAATAGCAAAAATACCCTTGAAAATAAAAAAATTACCCTATCAATTGATCACAAAACAAACAATCTTTTGTAAATGTAATAAGAATGAATAATTTAAAGCCAAATGTTTACAAAAAAAATCGTATAAAATATCATATTAATATATCTTTTTAAAATTAACACATTATATAAGAATTGAAAAATACATGTATTCTTTAAAAAAATATTTTAACAATTAAAATATTAATAAATATTAAGAATGATTTTATTCATTTAGTTGAAGTATATCTCCTGCATTAAAATCGACAATAAAAAAATTTAATATAAGCCAGATTATTTGACCTACTAATTTTAAAAGATCTTAAAGGATAGCTGAGAAAAAATTTTTAACAATATTCCAAGATAAATAAAAAATTGATATAAATACTCAAATGTTAGCCGAAAACAAATACCAACACATAAGAACAAACATAAAAGAAAAATAGTTATAAAACTGTATTTTCTATAGTTCCGCTAAGCAGATAAGCGAATTTGCTTTAAATTTATATATTTAATTTATATATATATATATATATATATAATGATATTATAGTTTATATTATATTATATATTATTACTATTAATTTCTTTACTAATCTGGATATTAATTTTAGCATTAAGCAAGCAAAAAATTGAAAAAAAGAATATAGAAATGACTAGAAAACTAAAAATTTTTTTTTAACACAAATTGATCAGAAAGCATCCTTCATTTGATGAAAAGGTCGAACAGCCAAATCAACTGGAAGTATGAAGTTATATTTATGCAGCGATTCCAAAAGTATATAGCAATCCTCACAACCTTCAAGATATTTGGAATTGAAATTTGATCTTGCTATTTGCACGTTATCCAACACCATGTATGACTATACCTCAACATGAATCTCCTAACCTTTCCTCTCTTCTTATCCATTTTGTATTTTGCTTCGTTCGAAATCAAAAAACATTTCATAAAAAATAAACATAAAATAAATAAAAAACAAATAAATAAAATAAACATTACATAGTAGGTTGTCGCTCAATTTGGAGCGCCGATGCTGAAGTTCTATTCCCGTAGGATTAAGCCTGTTCAAAATCCGGGTTACGCTAGCGACTCACCCGTACTTCTATCGCCGCCAATGGATTCCCTGGTTTAGTCGTCCAATGCGATAAGACAAGCCAGAGAAGCGAGTTTAACCAGTAATGGTAAGGACTTTATATAAAACAATTTCACTCCGATGCCTATTCACAGGCTAAAAATTCTCATTTTTTCCAGCTTTTTTTTTCTTCCTCACATTTTCTTTCTCCTTTTTAAGGAAAAAGAAATTAATTGTAATGACACCATATGCACAGCATCAGATAAACTCAAATTTAGCATTAATTTCATAAAATAATGCCTTATACTAGATATCGCGATACAGATATATTTCATAGATATTGATATTGATAAAGAATACAAATATCTCCTTTTTTTGCCCACCATTTTTAGTCAGGATCGCTCCGCTGGCTTGTTAGACCACATAAATTTTGACATGGAGTGACGATACTATAGGTCAAAGTTGATGTTACCTGTTCTTGCAACATAAGCCCATGATGAATAACACTGTTGTATTACTTGTCGAGTTCGAAAAATGATTCGTATCCAAGCCGGTAATTTTTTTTCATTGAGTGCAGCCGAAACAAAAGCTTTCCACATTGCATCCGGTGTTCGTTTCAATTTACTATGAGTTGCAACTATATTTTCGATTGTTGTCAATAAAATCTAAAGTTTCTTTTTCGAAATTCAAAAATAAAAATTCCATGAGTTTTATGCATAAATTTTCACAACTTGTACAATACAGATACAATACTTGTACAATACAGATAATTTTAAATAAAAACCTGCTTGGAGGTGATACTTCGACCACCAATTTCATCAAGTTGAAAACTCTGTGATAACTGACGCACAGGGGCGTCACTTAATTCTCGTCCCCATTTTGAATCATAATAAAATAATATAACATCCCATATATGATTTAATTTCTGAGATACTTTACCTAAAATTTCATTTAACAAATAAATAAAAGTAAATTTTTCTTTAAAAAATCAATCGCAAATGTCAATGAAATCTATAAAAAGTCTAGATCAAATTTTTTAAAATAAAAAATTTATTTGAATAACTATGCATCTATTTTTCTTAATAAATATTTAAATATATAATTAAAACTATTAAAATTTCGAAATTATTAACCACTATGCATATTAACAGTATGTTGAGAGCGAGAAGGTAAACATCCAAATGAAATGAAAGGATTTGATAATCGAACTGTAGCAGAATTCATTCCATGTTCCAGCAAACTGCGCAAAGCGGGACAAAATACCTTCCGAATTACACTCACAACTTCTTGTTCACTGCGTTCAAAAACCTGAAATAAAGTTATTAAAAGTAAAAAATGATCTGAAGAGAACAGTTAGAAAATCGAGAATATAGAGAATAGTCTTAAAAAGAAACAATTTATCGCATAAAATATACCTCATCCAAGTAATTTGGAGGAATAATTTCTCTCCTTTCATGTTCGACTGACAATAAAAGATACTTCTCCAGTACTTGAACTGTACTATCAACAGCCAACTCAAGCCTAGCTCTTTCATCTCTAAAATTTATATCGACAAGAAATTAAAAAGAAAGATGATCAATTTATTATAGTGCTTTGGTACTAACCCATAATGATTTCCTTGAATCGTGTTTTTTAACTCATTGCGTTCAAATCTGTTGTTTCCACATCCAATAAGATTCATAAAAATATTTTTTTTAACTGGTTTAGTACGAGTTGACGAAAAAGATGTGGGAGTACGGTCTGCTGTTTCACCTTGTAAAAAGCTGACAAAACGTTCAAGATCAACAATTTGCGTTTGAAGTTGTTCTACGAGTTTTTCCTTGGCTTTTATAGGATTGATGAGCTGAAAATTTAAATAAATAAAAGGCGGTGATCTTTATTCATCCCTTCAATTTATTTAATACAAATTACGCAAAGAAAAAATTTTTAAGTACAACAGCTAATGAATATGAAAAGAAAATATATTTATTTAATCCATTATCACCACTCCTGACCAGGCTGGAGTTATTTGGCGATGGAAGTAGAAGTGGGTAGCCGCACTATTTAAATATTCTAATGATAAATTCAGTCCGGGCATATGCAGAAGCCAAACTCTCTCAAAATGGTCATCTGAGCCACTATTGCGCTATCGTACAAAGTTCAAAAAAGAAAAAAGAAAATATATAAAAAAATAAAATTTAAGGAAAAAAATGTCTGAAATACCTGTTTAAGAGCTTCATCGACTTGCTTCTGCAAATCCGATTGCGACATTTTATCCAATTCCAAATTAAGTTGCATTTTTTCATGAAGTTTATCAATCACAACTTTCTATAACAATGCCAATGATATTAAATTAAAATGAAATTTAATTAGTGGTGCAATTATATTCCATAAACATAAATACCTGTCTAGCAATAATTTCACTACTTGGAAGACCGCCTTCGCCTGTTTCATAAGCAAATTTCTCTAACTCTTCTAACTGTCTCTTTAGTTGAGTTATAAGTTCCATTTGACGTTCTTTTTGTCGATTAACACCTTCTTTGCCTAATCCAAAATTATTACCAATTTTCCGCTTAACTTCTTCAACATCTGTACATCCTCGGAATGCAAATTCTTGAAGATCTTTTAATAATTTCTGGAAAAAATCATAGAAATAATGAAATATTTGTATCATTAATTCGCTTAATTGGTGATTTGATTATGAATAATGGAAGATATCGGGATTTGACCTTTTTAGTTTAAAGATTATAATATCATCAAGGAAGAGATATTACTACAATAAAATAAGAAAAACATAAAGTAAAAGAAAGATTTAAGGCACTTACATCCTTATCACAACTATCAGCTTGACTTATTTGTTTCAATCTAAACTGCACTTGAGCAAAATGCGTTGATAAAGATAAAAGGGAATTATTCAAACGTTCTTGTTCTTCTTCAAGTTCTCGAAGTCGTTGTTCTTCTCTAAATTAATTTTTAAATTTATTCATCTTATAGCACCATTAATCTGATTTCGCTAGTTCAAGAGACTACCTTCGCTTCATTATGAATAGAATATAGAAGTATTGGTGGATTCCCGGTATTATTCAGAATACATTTTTAAGCCTTATTCCCATACACCAATCAGAATTTTTTACTTGACCTTAGTCAAAGCGACATATCACTCGATCATTCAATTTCAAATTAGAGAATATTCTAACTTTTATAAGAACTAACTTTTATATTGACATAAATCTAATTGCTCAAAAAAAAAACGAAGAATTAATATTAAATAAACTTACTTATAAAAGCACGGATTTTCGTCCGAAGATTCACCAACTGGAATCCAATGCTCTCCCCTGATCGAATCATCTGTATTTGAATGCTCTAGATTATAATTTATTATTATTTATTGAATTATAGAAACTATTAAATTAAGACGTCTAAATTATTTAGTGAATTATAAAAATTATCGAAAATCTATAGTAAAATGATTTTAGCAGTATTCCTTCTTCTTTCCTCCATACATTCTTTATTTCAATATCTTATAAGCTTTCCTCTAAACGCATTCACCGGTCCCTATTTATTGATTACGGCTTTTTACAGGAGAGTCCCTTGGAGATAGAAATATTTATGGACCACTATTACCAATCCGATATCTTCTTCCTTACATTCTATTTCTCATTAAATTAACTTAAATGATATATTTGATAAGCAATTAATGCGGCAATGACGATTCGAGCACAACTAAACATATTTATCAACGTTAAAACAATTGTAAATTTTAAGCAATAAGGAAAATAAAAAAAAGAAAAATATTGAAAAAGAAAAATTATACAAAAAATTTAGAAATTTTAGAATAAGAAAAGAATCTAAAATGATAAAACGTGAATATTTTAAAAAAACGAACCATCAGAAAGGTCTGAAGTACTTTTTTCACTGAAATTCAGATTTGCCAAGTCTTTGAAAATATTTTCGCCTTCTTCCTTCATCATTTTTGCAAAATTAAATTAAATCTTTAAATTTGCATGATCTAAAATACATAAAGATTTTTAAAATAAAAAAATAGTTAAAATGCAATGAATAAAGAACAAAAATATATTGAGATATAATAATCTTTAGTTCACTTACCTTAGTCAGCTTCACTCATCTCAAAAGCGAACGCGTCTTATAGGTCTTCGGTGAGCTACCAGTATAGTTCCCTACAAACAGAACCATAATAATTAAGAAATAATTTGAATCCAATCGAATTCAGAATGTAGAAGAAAAATATAAGAAATTGCAAAAACTAAAAAGAAAGAAGACGAAATTCGTATAAAACAAGAGCCAAAGGGAAAAGAAAGAACGAAAGTTAGGACACTCGGGCATTAAGACAATTTCAAAACGGATCTTCGATATTTCTGCAAAAAAGATGGATGCACCAAATGGGGAGTGTGGGAAAATCTGCAACAGAGGTGACGGCCGTGAGAAAATCGCCGACAATAAGCAGAAATGGTAGCGTCTGAGGAAGAATAACCGCATTTAACCACTTGCCTAAATTAACTACCTTCACCCTCTCTGACAATAATTTTTTCCTGCTTCCATCCGTTTATAAACCAAAAAACCCTCTGACCTCAAAGTTACCAAACGTCACTAATTGTCGGCTTCGATTCTAAGTTTCTCTCCAATTATTTTCTCGAAAATCTTTTTTATAAAGGTTATTACATTTTTGAGATTCTTCGGTTTTTTCCAGTTAAATTGATTTAAAATAATTTAATGGAACACTATTCTAGATAATTTAATGGGGAGGATGCCATCAAAAGATTCGATATCACGTTTATGTCTTGGCGGTGAAATTGTGAAAGTACCATCGCTGATTGTTCAAATGGTTCAAATTTTTATTATTATAGTATTTGTGCCGTCAGAAATGATTCACTTAGAACAGCTCCTTTAATGCTGATAATTTTTGACGAGCCACTAGATAATCTCAGCACTTGTCCAGTCTTATTTCTTGGCATCAATAGGATATAGGGGCAGCACCGGGGAGATAGAACTACACGTGAGTCATTATGGGTATTTTCCTTTTTAGCGATTAAGTTTATAGCTTTCGAGGGTTGTGAGAGCTATGGAGAACCCCTGATGCTTGAACCTATGACCCACACCGCATGCATCATGCCATTCGCGATGATTGTGAGAAGCCTTTATATTTCCTTCTTTTTTCATATTTTACCTCCAATTTGCATTATTTCTTCGGTGCAAATTTTGGTGCAGGAATATATTTCACCCGTCTTCTCACATCTCACTTCTTTAGCAATTTGTGAATATTGCTGCTTCCTATGGAACCGAATTTTTGTTCACAAAAAGAAAGGTTTACCTTCATAATTTAATTCATTCATTTTAGGAATCGTTTTTTCGATTGGCAGTAAGCAAAAAAATGCACGATTTGCTTAGTGTTGAAGCGCAGAAATATCTAACGGTTTGTTTTACTTCTTTTTTCATTTCACTTCCATAAATTTTCGTTTTATATACTTTCATCAGTAAACTTTCATCGTCTATTTTAGAGATTTTTGCCGAGCGAAAAATATAAAGGTCATGATAATAGTTCAATAAAGGATATGATAATTGCTTTGGATGATATATTTACTGACGACAAAAATTTTTTCTTTGGTAATCCTCTCGAAATTGTTTATTCTAAAATAAGATGTAAGATCTTATTCATATTATTTAATTTTTCTGAATTTCTTGGTGTAAGCTTCGCATAATGGTACTTTTCGGTTATCTGGTCCACAAGATCCTTTTTTTATGTTTGGGAAAATAATAAGGTCACAGGAAAAAATTATAAGATCGAAATAAGATATGAAATAGCACTTCGGTGATGAAGATTCCATGATTTTTTTTTGGATTCTGAAACGTAGTATCAATTATTGGTGTTAAAGTTAGATTGGTGAAGAAGACAGTAGGCGAGCACCTATGAAGTCAAGAGAAGAGAAAACAAAGAACTACGAAAAAAATCCATAATCCAAATATAAAGTTTTCACGGACTATATCCTACTACGAGCCGGGTAATCGAAAAGTATTCATGTTATCTGAAATCTTTTTATCTGTCTTTATCTATTTATTTAAATGATACCTTAATTAATTAAACCTTTGATAATAATTATTATTCATTTATTATTTGCAGTATTATTTTCAACAATTTTTAATGGTTAAAGAATATTTTAATAGGTGGTTGGTTTAATCCGGAAAGACCAGCTGATAAGGTTCAATTACGCGACAATTGTATGGTGCGATATGACCATTTCATTCGTGAATACCATATAAATCTTGTTAAAAAATTGCATATCGCTCGCCAGGTTCGCGAACTTTTTGTAAATTTTTAAAATTATTTTAATAGCTATGTTTTTATTTCTTACTTTTGTTCGTTTTTAATTTGATATAATGGGTTGAGCAGTCGAGTGGCATATCGCTTTGACCCAGACTTAGCTGGGTGTATGCTGAAGAACCACTTGTGTCTTTATTCTCAAGTGGTGAAAGGTTATCAGCCTAGTATTCACTTTAGCCAAGCAGGAAATGAGGTTTTTGATTTTTTGTATGAATAATATTTTTCATCAACTTAATTTTAAAAAAAATTTATTAGTTATTTCTCCTTCATAATTTATATTCTGTTTTATTTGGTGGATTAAACTTTTAAAAATATTGGCAAATACTTACTACAGCTAATATAGTTTTTCAATTTTTGATTCAAATTTTTCAAATTTCAGAGACTTTTGAATCACATTTCCTATGGTTATGAAATATGTTTACCTCCTCATCGCGATAAATTATCATTGAAAAGGAAAATTGCGCGGAGAAAATTGAAAGAGCGAATTGATTGTCGTTATAAAATGTAAGGTTTTTTCTTTTCTTAAAATTTCCCGAAATTATAAAATGTTTCATTAAAATCATTCTTCTTGAACAGAAGAAATATTCATTCAGGACAAAAGAAAAAGGTACTTTTTTTTCCTAGGATGATCGATGATATCAATAAAAAAGCAGATGTTGAAGAAATATCGTCTGATGATGAAGGTTTTTTTTCTCTTCTGTTCTGTTCATTAATTTTTTAAAATTTTGTTGGCTTTTGATAGTGCCAAGTAATAAATGGTTAGCGCATACCAATCCTGATTAGATTTGCTTCGTTGGCTTTTAATTTAGTTCAAAATTTTTTTCAATGAATCTCTTGGATTCTCAGCATTATTCAGATTTTTTAACGGCAGGTTTATCGGAGGCAACGATAATCTGAACCATTGTATATTCGACTGTCTTGCCTATTTTAATCGTGAGCTTTGAAACATTTTTTATAAGAGATTTTAATTGAAATATTCTACAAATTGAAGTAAATGTTTCACAAATTATTCATGATTGCTTATGGAATTTTTCCGAAATTACACGTAAAAATAATAAAAACGGAAGTAAAAAAGAGTTATTACAAAAATTGCTATTATTACTTCATTATTTCGAAAACTTTATTGTCTTTAAAATTTTTTCTTGTGTTTCATATTTATATTAATAAATTATATATGTTTTTATATATTAAAAAGTGATTCACTCATTTTCTGATTGGGCTTGATATTTTGGCTGTTTTCCGTTTTCATTTGTCTTATTTACAGATTTATCTTGCAATCAAAGATTACCTCTGAAAAAAGTTGGAAGAAGTACTCTATCTTCACCGGATTTTCCAGGTTAATAATTTTTCATATTGGCATTTTCTGTCATCAAATCATGTTATTCGATCTAATTCACCGATCATTTTCCTCTTTAATTTTCGATATTTCAATCAATTTTCAATTTTTTAAACTGTTTTCTTTCTATTAATTTATTCTAAATCAAGATTTGGATTTGCACCATCCAATTTATATGGACAACGTAAAAGATATGTTGAAGAGTTATGCAAAATTTAAGCGCAATTTTCCAGTAATAATTTTTATTATTAATCGAAGATTGTAACTCATGCTTTGTATTTTCCTCTTTTTTTCCTTTATTATTTCTTTTTCATATTAAAACGAAGTATAGATAGAATGAAAAAAAAGTATATTGAATCCTATAATATAAAATTTCAAAAAATCAAAAAAATGGAATAATAAATCATTATTTTTTGTTCTAAAAAATATTTGTGAAAATTTGTAGTTTTTTTTGTTTATATTGTTTAGTTTTGTTTTTTATATTTTAGAAGTCACCGGCTCTTGATTTCCATGATATAACAATCGAAGGAGTCTATGAGCGTTCCGGTGTTTCTTGTATTGCTGAAAAGAATTTACCAGCTGAAATAACGGAAGCAATGAAACAACAAATTGATCCGCCTAGATATTCATCGAAAAGTTGGAATTTAGCTGCCGCACTTCGTAATTGTAATAATAATTGAATTTTTGAGCCATTTTACTGTTTTTCTTATTAAACCAGTTTATTTTGTATCAATTTCTCTATTATTTTTTGAATTTTATTTTGGAAAGATTAGAAATTTTTTATTGAATACATAAAAAACAAACTCTTTCGTATAATTTTAATAAAATAAATGAAAGGGATGTTTGATAAATGAGATGAATAAAATATAAATGAAAAAAAATCCGAACAAATTTTTATCTTTAAAATATTATATTAGAATTTTTAATAATTTAATAATTCAAATAATTTTTAATAATTTAAAATTTTTATTTATTCTTTGATTTTCAAATTTTTTCCTTTTATTTACAAAAAATCCTTTTTCACCCACTATGGCAAGGATCCTCAACCTCGGGATCTGCCAGGGGCCTGAGAGATTTAGGCTTCTCCATGGCATCTTAGCTATTCCTAGCAGTGCACTCTTTTGGATAGAGATTTCTGATATTCTTCGAATCTGCTGAATCCGTTTTTCTGGTTTAAGGAGTTGTAGTTCTAAGTGCTCCAATTATCACTGAATTACTTTGGCCTTCATTTCCTATGCTCCCACTTTCTTCTCTTGGTATTTTAATTCCTCTTTTTGACTCCTGGTATTCCTTCTTTCAATAACTTTCATGTTACTCTATAACTAGTGTTGATTTTTGATTATTTGGCTCTGTCACCACAATGTCTGGTTGCTTAACCAGTATTTATTTGTCTCTCTGGATGGAGAAGTTCCATAGGATCTTTGCCTTATTATCCTCTACGATTTTCCGAGGAATCTCTAATCATGGAAGGATATTTAAACCATATACTAAACAGCGATATTCTTGTAGCTAATTATAATTTTGATGTATATATATAGGTTTTTTTTTCATGTTTTAATTTATATGTAATTTTTTTTAAAAGCAAATTCTTATTGTAAATTTATATAAATGAAAATATGTAAATTTATTAATTTATCAAAGTAGAAAAATTTGTTTCTTAATTTTCATCAATTTTTGGCATTTTTGGTTCTTTTTTTTTCTTATCAAAATTGAACTTGTTGAGTTGTTTTGGATTTTAAAAATTTTATGACGAGCATTTTTTTTATAGTTTCTATTTACTTATCTATGGATTCTCAATTCGAAAATTTCGTATAAACATCAAACATCATGAGATATCTGAAGTGATTGTTATTTATTAATCATTTTTGCATGAATAAAATACCGTTGTACTTCGAAATTTGCAAAAAAAGCCGACTATTTCTTGTAAGTTTTCTATCTTTAACCATACATTTCTTCTTGATACACAAAAGAATTAAAATAAAAAGCAAAAGTTTGGAATGTCATTCAATTGAAGGTTTCCATTTATTTTTCCAAAATTTTTTTATTTATAAATTTTTTGTAAGTTTTTGGTTTTTAATATATATTTATTTAATTTCCAACCTTATTTAATTTAGTACCTCTTCAATTTTAAATTTTTCAGTTTAATTTTTTGTGAATTTTTATTTCATTTTATCGAAATTTTTTTGTTTTTCATATTAGCTTTGGATATGTTTTAGAAATTCATTTTAGACGAGGCATAATTGATTCATTTGTTTGGGAGAAGGTGATGTGATCAAGTGATGCATTATTTCTTCGACTAAGTCCGCCATCTTAGGTTCCCTCTTCCTTAACTCGAGTGAAGCCCCCATTAAAAGTAAACTCGGGGAAGGGGGTCTTATTTTGGCCCTTCAAGTGATTTCTGGCGAGCTGGTGTCTTGGTGTCCAAAGGAGCCAGCCAAACTAAAATGGTGAATGTTGTTCAAAAAAAATTCGCTTATTATCGCTTATTCATAGGTTTTTATGAATTCCATGCTCTTAATTGTTCGCAAATTCTCGATAATTATCTTATTTCTTTTATTCAAATTTCGAGATCCATTTAAATCAATTTGTTTTTTAGTGGTTTTGTTGGAAAAATATATTTTCCAGTCGGAAAAGGTAGTGTTTAATTAATGCAAAAATTAAAGTTCATTTGGAATACATTTACTTTAAAAGAATCTTGAATTGGTGGTTTAGAAATAAAACCAACCTGGAAGAAAAAAGATCTGTGATTTTCTTTGTACCGGATACAACAACGATTAGACTAAGATTTTGTTTTTCTTCTCGTTCAGTTTTCTTTGTTACAATCAAAAATGATCAACAATCATCGGTGCATTAGTGTTTTGGCTGGTGAATTCCAAGTGGATTAAGTTTACTTTCAAAATGCTGGAGGAGAAATGAATGGCTTCGTGGGTCGTTATTTCATTTCCGCCAGTGGTGAGGTTTTTTCAGCAAATTTGTCTTTCGAAAATCCAAGCTGGCTATTAAAACTACTACTACTAAAACTACTAAAACCTGTATTTCAGCTCCCCGCTGATCTCCTAGTAGAATTTATCTGGTTCGAGAAGTCTGCAGAGCAAGCTTAACCAGAAATATTAAGCGCTTTTAAAAATAAAAAGCGTCAGCAGTAGCAACTACGTTTTCTTGTTGCTCCTAGCTCCTCTCTCTTGACCTGTTGTTCCGATTTCAGCACCATATGAGACAAGATGAAGGTGCCTCGAAATTTAGATACAAATTTAAAAAAAAATAAATTTGAAAGCAAGAGATAAGTAAAGCAAAACATAATGAAAGTGAATTCACAGGGCAATGGCAGTACAAGCAAGTAAAATGACGCTTATGCTCGATCGGCTGTTGGCTCTTTATGTATAATAAGGGTTTTACTGTGGAATTAAAAGATCCACTAAGTTATAGGATTAAAAGTGAGTCCCCAGTATTTTTAAAAATAGGTCCACTGCTGCCAAGGATAAGAGCGAAATTGCCGGAACTTGGCCATCCTACTAAGATTTTCCAAATAATTTCGTTTCCTTTGATAAATTTTTAGCTAAGCGAAATGTCATATTTTTATCATATACATCTATCATTATATATTGTACTTTTGAATTATATTTTGAGTTTTTAAAATTTCTGTTTCGATTAGATTTACTCCGCTGGCTGTTAATATAATGATAAGAATTTTTTGCCAGATAGTTCGTTGGCGATGCAAATAGAGGTGAGTTAGCAGCAGCACTCAATATGTCGGCAGTTGGTGGTAGGAACCGCTCGAGACCGCTCTACTTTATTATTCATTACCACGTTTGCTTGAATAATTTGTTCTATTTATTTATTAATTTTTGAATTTTATATTATATAAATTGCCAGCTGAGGTTCGATTTTATTTTTCAAAACATTAATGAGAATTATCGTATAAATTATCGTAATTTAAACCAGTAAACCAGTTTTCGACTAATTACTGGCTTTTTTTATAGAAATACTTTATAAAATCGTTGAAAATGATTCAGATTAACTGTTTTCTCTCCCACACTTGGGCGGGACTTGCCTCTTATGGGTGGAGTTTATTTTTATGTATAACGGTGGAAAAAAATTTCTCGTTTGCAGTGTCGGGTTTACTTTTTCTTCTAGAGAGGAAGATGGCAATTGCTTGCTTCAGTGGTGAGAAAACTTTGCTTGCCACTTAGAGATAGAAATATAACTTGGCTGCTAGCACCATTCGAATTATATTGATTTCTAGTGTCATCTGGATTTTATAGTTTGATGTATTATTACATTTATTTATTAAACATTTTTTTAAATTTTTTAAAAGTTTTGAAAATGATTCGAAAAATTTGAAAAATTTGGACATCCAAAAAATTCAATAATAAATTAATTTTATTAGGGCAAATGATTTTAAATTTAAATTTTAAAAAGTGGCCAAAATGTTTTTTAAAAGTATTTTTTTATGCATTTATTTTATAAAGTTTGGATATTTCATGTTTTAATGCTTCTAATTTTTCATTTTTTTGAGTCGATTCATTTGTGAAGAAAAAATTCCAGTTAATCTTTGATCACGTAATGTCGATTGCGCGTATGATTGCAGTGACATGTTTGACAATCATTAGCCAGTGAAGTGACTTTAAGCCACGTACTTTATGAATGAATTTTTGATGACAGTTAAAGACAATTGCTGCACATGTGAGGATGGTTACGGTAATAATCTAACCTAATTCTAATTCGCTCCGAAGTTACTGCCTCAGGCTTTTCGTCCAACTTGTATGAGTATGAGGAAGCCTAATCGTTTGCATTTGATTCGTCGATGCTTGCTTATTTTTTAATAATTTTTTTAATTTTTTGTTTTTTGTGCAGCGGTTACTTCAAATTATAGATTTAAACTTTATTCTTTTTCTTTTCTTGCTGACCTTTCGATCGATAACTCCTCGATGACCTTTCAACGATGACCTGGTTTTATTTTTTTCTTCCGTAAAATTTTCTACTATTATCCTTAAAATTCTCGGCATTTGTTCACTTATTTCGGAACTTTCTGTTTAATCTATTCGTCGCAATAATAATTCTATTAACGCATCTTTTTTCCGAAAAAAAATGAATTAAATTTTTTGCAAAGTTTTTAATTCCTCGTTTTTTTCTTTTGGGACTTTTTTTTATAAATTAAATGAATTTTTATAGATTATTTATAACAATGATTTTTTGATGTTGCGTCGCCGAATATTGCGCATCCTTAATGCAGTTATTGCACTTTCATTTGTAAGTTATTTTTTCTCTTTATTAACGAGGTGTGGTTCGTTAGTGGAATGGACGGCGGCTTAGATTAGCACTCCTAGAAAAAGGAGGTTCGAGTTCTTTAGAGGAGGGAGTTCTCGGCACAGTCGCTTCCTAATATAGAAAATGTTATTTTTCTTATATATGTTATGTGTATGTTTACAAAAAAATATATTCTTATAAAAATTTTTGTGATTTTAGTGCAATTATCTTTTTGGGAAAATTTGAATTTTTTAAATATATGTTTTTCAGCAATTTTTATATTATAGTTTTTTTGAATTTTCAGTTTAGTTTATTTTTGGTCTATATGCAAGGTCCATTTACAAGTATCGATAATGGTGATAATGACGATAATGATGGCGACGCCAGTGATAATTTATCATTAAATAATATAATCGATCAAAATTTGTTACACTATTTGTCTTTCGTTAGTTGTTTTTCTTCACTTTTCATATGGTATTTATTAATGACAATAATAATGGCAATAATAATAAATAATAAATCAACATGCATATAAATAATATATAAATAATTATTTTTATTTCTCACATGTGTTTGGATCAAATTTTGAAAATTTTAATTTTTTTCATTTTCTTTAGTTAAATTTTGGTATTTTTCGATTTTTTAAGATTGATTATGAGAAAGGATGGTCATTTTCAAGTATTTCATCACCACTGAGCAAAGAAGAAATTATTACATCGATAGAATTTTTAAATGAAAATTCAGAGGTTCTAAATGTTAATAAATTTGGTCCTGTGCAAAATTCGAAAATTATTATCGCCGTTCAGGTCGGTTGTTTTCTAAATAATAATTTCTGATAAGGTGTAAGATTGGTTAATAAAATAATTGTTTATGCGGTTTTAAATTTTATTCGTTCTTCATCTTGTTTATTGGTTTACTTTTTGTAAAATTTTTTCGGAGAATTCTGCAATTCTTCTTTTTTTAAAAAATTATGATCAGAAATTTTTGGGGATTAATAAATGAATAAATAAAAGGATTGAAGAATAATAATAATTCGCTGCCTACGAATCATCTAACCATTTAGAAATTAATACTGATCGAAAAAAAATCAACGGAATTAATTTGGAATTAATTCTGAAAATTGAAATGAACCATTTTTTTCAAGAAATTCCGAAAATGTTTTTGGCTAAATTAGGAAGGAGTATGTGGTGGATTATTGCCATTGAGAAGCAAGAGTTTGGTTTCTGCATTCAAGCAGGAGTAAACCTGTTATTAAAATCAAAATGATGCTAGCAACTCACTCATATTTATATTGCCAGTAGTATCTGACAAAAACTTCGCTGTACTAACTAGCGAAACTAGATCAGCCAAAAATGGCGTAAACCACATACATCTTTCTTATTAATTTTTAATTACCAAATCATTTAATTATATTAAATTAAAATTATTCACTGAAAAAATTTCTCTTACCACAATTTTTTTGATGATTTCGAAGAGCTTTAGAATAAAAAAGGAAAGAGTAAAATGGCCTTTAAAGAAAAAAATTTTTTTCAAAAATTCTGGATATGATTCATTAATAAATTGAAATTTTTATAGATACACAATCGTATCGAATATCTAAGGCATTTAATTGATACGCTGGAAAAAGCGAAAAATATCGAGGATTCGTTGCTAATTTTTAGTCATGATTTTGCGTCAATAGAAATAAATAAACTTATAAGAGACATCAAGTTTTGTCGGGTAAGCTTAAAGTTAGGAAGAAATGTTTCACAATAAGAAAATTCTATTTATTATTTTTTGGAATTAGAGCAGTGGACTTTAGCAAAGTATTATTTCATGAAGTCTTTTAGTCTATTTTATAGGTAATGCAGATATTTTACCCATACAACATACAGTTATTTCCAAATATTTATCCTGGTCAAGATCCTGAAGACTGTCCAGAGAAGATACCCAAAGACGAGTCAGTGCATTTTCAAAAATGATTTTGGGCGAATAAGTTCAGGGTTATAAGGTTAAAACTGATAAAACTTATTGCAGAGCCAAGAGAATTCGTTGTAAAAATTGGCAGTATCCGGATAAATATGGTCATTATCGTGTCGCTAAAATAACGCAAATCAAGCATCATTGGTGGTGGAAGGTTTAATTACTTTTAAATTTTTTTTGTATATTTTTTTGAGTACTATCCATTGCCTGGTAATCCATCAAATTGAAAAGAGGAATGTAAATTGTTTACAACTTCTTTTGAAAACGGTTCAAAAATTTTGAAAATGATTGAATAGAACTTTATTAATATTAATATTAACGCTGAAAAAGTTGTACACATTAATTGGTTTATCAAAACATTAAAAACTTATAAATATTGATAATTTGTCATCTTTGAATTCGTTGTTCACATTTTTCTAACGCAGAATTTTTGTAGGGAAGAAAGGGCAAAATTTAATTTTCATAGGCTTCTCCTATTTTATTCGCAAGTTACTGTAAAATTATTGTAGTAAATAGTCATGAGGAAATGCAACCATATGTTATAACAATAAAGTTAGAAAAATAATAAAAAAAAATAAATGTCATGGAATTTATTAAAATTTAATAATTAAATTTAGATCTTTTATTGTCTTTTATTATTATCTTTTATCTTTTATAATTGGATGTTTTTTTTAGATAAATTACGTGTTCGATGGAATTGCAAAACGATATAGATTAGATCAATTGTGGGTAATTTTCTTGGAAGAAGATCACTATGTTTCACCTGATTTCTTATATGTTCTAAGTTTGATAATTAGAGATAAAGAAAAGTTTGTCATTTATTCATGTAAACCCGATTTTTAAAAATGAGTTACAATAAGAAGTTTTCAATTCCTACTAAATTAACAAATTTGATAGAATTTAGCCGAAAAATATGGTCTACGAGCGTTTGTTGAAGAATTTAGTCATTTTTTTGTTTTTTATATTCTAGTATTCTAATTCTAATTCAGACTGTGCAAATCTTGTGAAGTAATAAGCCTTGGTTCTCATCTGAAAACATTCAACAATTATGAAAATGAAGTATCGAAGCTTGGAGTTCATCCTTGGTTCAGTAGCAAACACAATATGGGCATGGCCATTAATTCCGTTACATGGCAACTTATAAAAAATTGTTCATTAGTAAATCTTCTTTATATTTTTAGCTGAAAAATATTTGATAGTTTATTTTTTTTTAATTTAGTTATTAGTTTTGTGGTTTTAGTTATTTTGCTCGTATGATGATTATAACTGGGATTGGTCATTACTACATGTAAGTACTAGCTGTTTACCAAAGTGGTTACAAGTGATTATTACTAAAGCGCCTCGTGTTCTTCATGTTGGTGACTGTGGAGTTCATACACATCAATGTGCTGTACATAATGCTGCTCAACAAGTAAGTTAGCCATTATTTTTTCTTTTCTGAAATATTTTCATTAAAACTATTTGTTTACTTTTTCACTACTAGTTTTCTTTTAATTCTAATTCTAATTTTATTTTAATTTTAAACAACTATTCTTTTTTGGGAAATATTTTCTAATTTCGTTTTTCAGGCTAAAGATCTTTTTTCACGAGTTTCTGAATCACTATTTCCTAATTCAGTATTTGTAAGTGAAACCTCGCGTAGGACTTTGAAACCTTCGAAAGAAAATGGAGGTTGGGGCGATAAACGCGATCATGAACTTTGTTACAATAATACTTTAACCGATCCTCTTCATCAGTTAAGTGACCATTCAGCTCATTTTGCGCTTAACATGGTTGATAATATTACGTCTCGATTTCTTTTTCCAACTTGATGAGGTTTGATGTATTTATCCATTAATGTCATTATGTCCACATGATTATATATCAATTTCTAAATTTTTTTGTTGTTTTGGTCTATACTATATAGATTATGACCAATATTACGTCGATATCAATGTCAGTATTCTTATTTGTCGGGTAATGTTTATAATTTTTTTTTCTTCGATTCAGATGCATTCTTACCAGTGCATCTTTTCATTTACTTAGTCTGACGTTTTAAAATGAACAAATTTTTATTATATTAAAATCACTTCTTCAATTTTTGCCAGAGCATTGCTTGGAGATAGGAGATGGGAATGGGTTGCCAGCACCGGAATTTTTTAAATGATAAATAAATAATGAATGGAAAACGAATACAAATATAAAATTTATAAAATTTATAAAATTTAAAAACTGCGCATTAGAACTGTCGAAGATTGGTAAAACATCTTTATCTTTATCTTTAGTGAATTTATCATTTATCAAAAACATTGGAATAATGTCAAAAGGACAGAAGTATGAAACACAGTAGAAATTTGGCTTTTATTATGAAAAAGTCAAAACTATGTTCTGAAACTTGGTTTTAATTTTTTTCTGCGAAATTTTATCGTTGATTTTTTTTGTTATTTTCATTTTTCAATAGCATTTTAAAATATAAATCTAATAGTGTTGGATGGGTGTTCTTAAAGTCGGCTTGTATGCATTTTTAGGTTTTTTTTATTTTGTCATTTATAAGAAATTTAAAAATAAAGAAGCATTTTACCGAAATAGTTTGGATTTTTGGATTTTTAATAAAATTTAAGAATTATTTAAGGTTGAATTTTTGTGCAGTTGTTCCTGGATTAATGAGTTTCTCTTCATTTATTTCCGAATTGTAGACAAAGTTCATTGATTCTAAATGTTTTCATATAATTCATTTCTCAAAGGCCATTTCTTTGTTATCTCTTGAAATTCAAACCTTCTGCTGTTCCACACTTTTTTGAAGTTTTAAAATTTTCTAATATTCTCACAAAGTCTTCAAAATGTTTTCTTGGAATTATTTTTGATGTATCGATTGCTTTGGAAAACTATTTTTCGAGAACAACTTTTCGATTCATTCTCCTGACTATAATTTGTCGGAATCTTTTCAATGGTGTTCCATGCGTTAATTGGACCATTTATCAATTGGACAAGTCAAAATGATATTTTATGCTTATTTCAAAATTAATTCGTTTATTAATTTTCAAAACTTAGGTTGCAAAAAAAGAAAGACGAAAATAAAAAGCAATTAATTTATTAAATGTTGATAAAAGATGGCCTCCTTTCTTCCATTTGATAATTTTCAATATTATATTGATTTCTCGTGACTTGGTATTTCATCTTGAAATCCATATAAACTTCTTTCCAAGAATCAAAGTTTGCGACACTACCAATCCATAATAAAATATTTGATACCAGGAAGTAATAAAATGCATTACCAAGACTAACCTAAAAGTAAATCTTTGACAATAAATTAATGGAATTGAAAAAAATAAAAAATGCAATTCATAAAATTATGTTTTAAAACTTTAATGATGTTGATTTTTAAATAGAAATTCGATTAAAATCTTGAATTTGGTGGGAAAAATGTTTTTAATTGCAAAAAAATAAAAAATCCCTATCTTCTAAAGGCCCTTGTTACTTCTGGTTAGGTTTGGTCCGCTGGCCAAGTAAATTTTGGCAGAATGTCACTGGGCGATAAAAATGCAAGTGGGTCCCAAATACAACCTAGGTTTCTGGCAGGTTTATTTCTGCTGGGGCATGGGCACTCCAAAATGAAAAAACAACAACCCATACTACTTACTCTGACTATTTTTCTTTTAAAAAAATGAATATAAAAAAGGATTAGAATAAAAAATTGAGAGTCAACCTGTCCTTTATTAATTATAAATGGCTGCGTGCTTTCGATTAAGAAAATCATCATGGCAATTAAATTGAAAAAAACTGAAAATTCGTTTAATGATTTTCAATCAAGACCTTTGTCATAATTTTATGTTAAAAATATGGGAAGAATTATTTGTAATATAATAAATACTTGTTAATACTTGTTATTCATATGAGGTCACGTTCTGGTGAGGAAACATATAAATACAGCCAATTATGCGAAGATAAAAAACTGCAACAGGTTTGAAACAAACACTAAATTATCGAAAAAGATCCTTCATACATATGAGCAGAATTACGTGTAATCCCTGACAGACCCCTAAATGTCTCCCCAAGACTCATAATATTTCTACAATATTCCTTCGAATTTTGTAGAAATGCGCATTAGAACTGTCAACATTGGTAAAACACCTTTGTCTTTAGTGAATTTATCATTTATCAAAAACATTGGAATAATGTCAAAAGCGAACTAGAGTATTTAAAAAATGAATTGAACAATGATAATGCCAAAAATGCCAGGAATGATTACCTCAAAAAGAAAAGAGCATTTCATAAGCAATGGCTAAATAACTTCTAGTTTGCATGAATACTGATTCCTTTCATTAGAAGGATGAGGTGTTTCCAAGCGATATCAGAAATTAATTTATTAATTCAAATTTCATTAAAAAATTTTGCGAAAAAAAGTTGTCAAGACCTATTTCTATTCCCATGTGATTATCTCGCAGAACGTCGCTTTTAGGAGCGCTTAAGTTAAAAATCGTGGAAGCCAATAAAAGAAGAAAAGAAAACAAAAATCCTTTACCGAGAACTAATGAAGAAATACAAAGAACATATTTTGTTCTGAGATCCTTTCGAACACAAACAATAAAAAGACAAAAAATGACTCCAATATAGAGCAATGTAGTAATCATCACGATAAAATGAACAATTATTAGGCCTTAAAATTTTTAAAATTATTTTAAATATTGCCATAAAAACTGAAAAAATAATCAAACTGACCTACCTATATATGTAAACCTATCAAGATTCAATTTTTACAACAAGATTCACTCGATCAAAATCATTCAAAATTTTCAAGCATTCAAATTTTAATTTTGAATTCAGAACAATTAAATTAGATTTAAACTTCCTACTAGTATTAGCGAAATATTACTAAGCTGAAATCCTGGGAATCAGCTGATGATAGGAATATGCATGGGTACCCAATACCGTGGTAAAGACGAATTTGTTTGCATCAATGGACAGGAACTACATGGTCTTAGCTTTGGCCTTATTCCAGACAGCGACTACATATCACTCGACTCGACTACTTACCCCCTTAACCCAAAATACAAACCTTGCGTATTCTGCGATTAATTTCCTGCTATTCAGACGTCGATTTAACATTTATTCATCTTATTCGTTTAAAGACCGCGAAAAACCTCTCTTAAGCTCATTTAAGGGACACAAATTAGTAAAAAGCTAAAAGGATACCAAGAGATGGCTTTTGAACATTTTCGGCTTTAATATTGAAACCGTTCATTAAAAAACTGTTCGACGATGAAGACCATTTACTGCATTTGATGCCATTTTCGAATAAGTCGGATTTCACACAGTCGTCACCTAAACCTCTCTGAAAATTTATTATGAATTTCTTAAAATAAGTTTTAACAAATTTTTTCATTGCGCTGTGTGCAGTGACTATGACCTAGAACAATCCAGTTTCCCCTAACCCAAGGTCTCAGACAATTCATCTCGACTAAATATTGGCGTGAGTGATTCAGTGGCATGACAACTCTCATCGAGAATGGCTCGCATTCAAATCCAGCTGACGTTTCACCGAGTGGCAATATCGCCAAATAGAGGGTAGAATGGCTGTGTGGATTTCAGTTTAGGTTCCATTCCGCCAGGAATAAAACATTTAAAATCCAAGCCTGCTGGCATTCACTGAACTTCTCCCGCCAAGTGATTCTCTGACAAGAGTTGCATGCTCCGACTGGAGCCAGTGGAGCGAGTCTAATCGGCAGTGGTGAGAAAAAACAATTTTTACTCAACATTTTATAAGTGAGTGACGGGTTAATTAGAAGTTTGATTGATTTAGATACTAACCTGATACTCGAACTTTTCATCATATTGTACAAGCCACTGATTATTTAAAAAATGGAAAGCCTGTAATGTGGCAGAAGCAATAATAATTGAAAATGCTACAACAATTTCCCAAAAAATAAGATTACTTTGGGTTGCGGGTCGAATCATTGGGTTGTGGGTTGGATCATTGCCTGAACTAAATCTGTATGCTGATGATCTGAAGAACTAATTCACAATGACACCAACCCATAGTACAAACCCAATTGAAAAAATCCGATACTGATTTATTTTTAATCTTAATTTACCAATTTTGCACTTAATTAACGGCCGCAATTATTCCGAAAATTACGAACGAATTCAAATGCATTGTAGACCGCATTTTCTTCGGCGGCCCTTTGTTGTTAATAGTTATCTTAAAAAGGAATTCGTTATTGGTGCACTCGATGGAACGATGTGGTGTGTGGTCCGCAGATCAATCTATAAAGTCTTATCTTAGCATTCTGTGCAGCTAAGGAAACAAGAAATGGTGAGTGCTACAAGAAAAAGGAGAACGGAACGGAGTGCATCAGTGATTTTATATATATATATATATGTATACATTGCCGTTAAAATTGTTGAATGAGGAAAGTAGAACGGCGAATCACCAAAAGTATATGTATAAAGGAGGAAAAAGTGGGAAGGAAATAATAATAACTGTTGTGGCGGGTTAAATAACCGACAGTGATTACGCGATAGGAAAATCGGAGGGATAACAAATAGGAAGAATTTGGAAATTGAAAGGAATGAAATGAAATGCGATGTCAGCGAAATTTGTATTGAAAATATTGAAATGTTGAACAAAATAAAGGAAACCTCAAAATCGATAGAATGCAGTAAATATTTCTTAACCAATATCAAACCAATTTTTATTATAAAAAAACGTAAAACAATAAGTAATTTTATATATATATTTATATACAAAGAGCAAATTACTGCAAATGGAGGACGTCTTAAAAGAAACTTTTATTGCCAAATTACTTATTGTTTTACGTTTTTTTATAATAAAAATTGGTTTGATATTGGTTAAGAAATATTTACTGCATTCTATCGATTTTGAGGTTTCCTTTATTTTATATATATATATATATATATATGTGTGTGTGCATGTGCCCGCAAAAAATTGTCCAAAAAACCGTCTGTCTCCTCGAGAAAAACCTTCATATTTCTTGAAAACTTTTCCCAATTCTTGTCAAATACGCTTTAAAATACCCCTCGCCATCGCTTCACTTTGAAACCGATTCATCTCCATTTCTTGGAAAACATTGAGGAAAAGAAAAAAATTTTTTTAAAATTGAGCAAGTCGCTGGAAAAACTGCAGCTTTCCAGCGATTACTGCTTATAGAATTGCAAGAGAATTTTAATTCCGATGAACAAAATAAAATTGGAACAATATGGGAAGGGTCGCGAAATGCCATATTTTTATTATTTTAAATTTATTATTTCAAAATAGCCGATCCGCCAAATAAAGCCTTTCATTTATTCATTAATTCCTTGTGAATTGTCAATAAAGAATATAGGTCAATTCATAAGTATATAAAGGATATCCTCTTCAAGAAAACTGTTCTTTTGGTGCCGTCAAGGGACCAGAATGGTGGGGGCCCAATATTTCAATATTCAATTTATTTTGTTATTTTACATGCTTTATATTGTTTAATCATTCCTTATTTGTTTTGCGATAGTTATCCTTTTAGTCGAATTTAATTTGTGTGAATGTTCTTTTTCACATACCTATATAATAATTGGTTTAATTACACAAGTTTGAGGTAACGGAATAAAGATTTTACTAATTTGTGCGGTGAACAAATTTTAATTTACTGTCATGAAGAAAGCAGTCGGATCAAGATTATTCTAATGTAACGCGTTGCAGGCGAATATTGCTTCCAATCAATAATTATATTAATTTATTTTTCACAGGAAGATTAGTATGGCATCTGCCCGAAGATTATTACATTCAAATTCGTGAAGCATCCCAGATTTTTTCGGTGGCTTAGTGGCAAGATAATTGGCACCAGGAATCGAGGCCTACGTTTGAAACCGCCGCTTTGGGCAACAGTGTCGCCTAATGAAAAAAACAAACGGAGAGTAAAGAAAGAGAGAATGGGTTTTTGCTCAGTTCGGAACGCTGATACTGAGCTTATGGTCCCAGGTAGATTAAACCTGTCCAAAAATCCAGGTTATACTGGCGACTCACATATACTTCTATCGGAAAGGAATTCTCTGGCATATTTGGATAATCCGATAAGCCAGTGGAACGAGTTTAACCAGTAATCTAACTATCTTCAGTTTCCGAATATGGATTTTACAAAGTAAGATGAAAATGCGATATTTCTTGACGAGGAGCACTTGAAAATTTTCTAAAACCTCCTGGCAAACAGTGATAATTTGCCATATATATTATATAAATTTATAACTCCCTCATAGAATGGTACAGCACTTCTATGAGTGCGAAATGCTCACTATTCTAGATTAGAGAAATTCAAGTTGTACCATTTTTACGATGTCTTCGTGCCTTCATACAAGAGAAAAGATTGTTGCTCTCGATAGGTTACGGGCAGAGAAAATTGTTTCCTTTGGAATTAATATTAATTGCATCGATGAAGTTCGACGACATGGAAAGAAAAGGTGAAAAGGACTGCAGGTATTCAAAAATTGACTAAAAGATAAATTTCTTGCCATGTCTATTTTGAGCAATAGTTTCTGTTCGGTTGTGCCAAATGAAGAAAATTTAAGCGCAAACTAAACAAGCAACAGCGAAAAGAATGTTATATTCGTAACCAGTGCATTAATATAAAAAAAAATGTGGTCAGGAATCTTCAACTGAAATTAAGAGCCTCATCAAATAATTTTTCGAAATAATTTTGTGACTATACTTCCCTTTTCTATAACAGCCTAAGATATAAGATAAGATATTTGACAAGTAAGGTAGCAAAAGAAATTTGACAAGTAAGGTATCAAAAGAAATTATTTGTCTCTGTAATATATTTAATGTTAGAAGTTTAAAATATGTGATCTGTAGGTCTTATTAATGGATAAACCAATAGTATTTTCTAATATTATAGTATAGTGAAGTGTGGTTCGATGATTCTACTAATAATCGTGAACTAAACTTCGATGGTTTTGAAGGCACAGAGTAGTAGATCTGAATACACGTGAAGTTGAGCTTATCACCAATTACCAATTATTATAAATATGCAATCATAATAATTTGTTCTTCTGCTAACTTTAGAATCTCTGATAAATTAGTTTGATATTAAAAATATTTTCCTTTTAAATCTATATCGTCAACCAGGCTATGGAAGTGAATTCATCGCATATCTGAACAACTTTTTAAATAAATTAAAATTTGGTTGTGATTATGTAATTGTTGGTAATCATAATATTCCACATATGGACTGGGGAAATATAAAAAACAACAGCAAATTTGATGAGGATTTTCTACTTTTGTATTTACAATGGTTTACAGTAGCATGTTAAGATTGCCACCAGGCACAACACTATATTAGATGTTGCACTAGCCTCCTCTTCTATTTCCTTTTTAGTCGATAGCGTTAATGCCCTTGAATCTTTTTATAGCAGTGTAAATTCATTCAAGTCTCACTGAAACTGAACCATTATATACCCTTCTAGATTTGCTAGAAATTGCCGTAGGTTTCGAAATCATTAACTCTCTCTTTGCAAAATTGAATTTTATATTGTTTCTAACTGATTCTTTTGACCAAAAAGTTAATTTAAAATTATATATACTAATAGATTACATTCCTTTTTTAAAAAATGGCGTTAGGTCTATTCCTCCTACCCTAAAATATTTTTAAAAAATTAGAAAGAATATTTGTAATATGTATAAATTAACCAAATTGCTGTGAGCTCTCTTTGCATGTGAAAAATTTCGCTCAAAAAAATTCCGTTATGCTATCATAAATACACGAAGAACAAATACAATGATTCTTTTTAGAATATATATTTAAAAAATTTGCCTATCCTAAAAAACGAATAATTCTGCAGCATAATGATAATGTGATCACTTCCTTTATTGATATTGTATTTAAACAATATTTTTTCAGTTGTTTTGTTGACGATAATAATTAATAGCGCTTTTTTCAGTGAAAATCGAAATTGTTAAGGTCGCTTCAGTAAGACTGAAATAACGTTGTTGACGTTGTTTATGACGCTTTGAATAAACTTGAACCGTCCATTTCAGCTGTCCCAGCAATATTCCTTAAATATTTTATGAAAAAATACGCAGCCTCATTAATCTATTTTAATTTGAGGATATGAAATATTGGCTTAAATACAATGCGCCATATAAGGCCCATACGAAAAGAAATTCCTCCCGTGATAGGCTTGTTAGCCTAACATGGGTTGGTGGCTGCGGGGATAGAATAGTGGGGAGAATGATTTGCAACAAGTTGCTTAGTTTAGTTGTCTTAACATCAATAAGTAATATCCTCATATCAAATGATCTTCACTGTCCCAGCACCGTCGCGTTCCATCACCCTCCAAAGCGCCGCTCCTTCTTTTATATTTTATATCGATTTCACCAATTTCCTTTCACTTGGCATCTCATTTGTTGTTGGCGCTTTTTGCCATGCTTGGTTGTTTCCGATAAAGCATTCACATACCTCACCCCATACCTGTTGTGTTTTATTGTACCCAGAAGCGTTCTTGTAGTTATCCATATCATTCATGCAAAAGAAATTCCAGAGACCATATGGTCCATATAACCTTTATAAACAGAAGTTAGGTCTTTTGATTCTTCTTTTAAGGCGCAACTTAATTTGCTTCAGTTCTGAATAATAATTAATCGAGTTATATGATGTAAAAAAAGTCTTTTAAAATTTAATCTTTTTAAATATGTCCTTGCAAACTTTCAATCTAGGAAAGCAATAAACTATATTATATTTTAATATAGGCGAATGTTTATAAACCTTGGTTTCTAAGAAATTTCTCCATTTTTAAATGACTTAAATTCACCAGTTGGAAATTTAAGAAAGACAAGATCTAAATTTTCATTTATTATAATCCTAGGATCTAAAATACATGTTTAATAAATGCTACAAACTTCGGCTACTTCAGATTTTACGGGATATATTTACGCGATTATTGGCAGTTTCACTCTGAATTTACATTCTTGTATGATTGATTGGTTGTGTTCCCCAGATTACTTTTTTATTCTTTTATTTTGATATTTTTTCCAGTGTTAATAACTAGAAGAATAACTTATAATAACTTTTTTTTAAAAAGTTTTTTTTCAGCCGATTACATCTTTTTTCCAAAAAGTGAATTTCCTCATAGTTCATGCAATTATGCAATTTTTTCCTGCCTTAGCACCTTTCTATCTTCTTTGAATAACGGTCAGAATTTCTGGTTTTACGGTCATCACTTGAAGAAATAGCTGTATAGGTGTAGCATCCAAATTTCATCTTCAGTTTATACTCTTGCATGGATAGAACCAACGATATTTAAATTTAAATGGAAGCACGATATCATTCGATTACTAATCACATCAAAAAAATTTTCGCAAAGTAGTGCTTTCGCAAAGCAATGCTTGCAATATCTGACTTTTAAAACACTTATGTAAATAATAATTTTGGATAATAATTACTTTTTGCAATATAATTTGCAATATAATTTTTAAATATCTTGGATCCACTCTAATACCAAATGGCCAAGCAAAAGACAATATTACAACCCGGGTTACGGCAGCGAGAGATGCATTCTTTCGATTGACGAAACATTTATGGAGCAGTCGTGAAATTACCATAAGAACGAAAATCTGCATCTATAAAGCTGTGATTCTTTCGATCTTGAATATGGCTTTGATACATGGCCAATGAGAGTGGAGGATATTAAGAAATTATTCTACTTTGACTACTCTTGCCTAAGGTACATTTTATGGGTCCGTCAAGCGGATAAAATATCACATGATCACATCCACCTTCATTCAAATAATACCACTTGCATTAATAATGTTATTACAGAGAGTCGTCTTCGCTGGTTTGGGCATGTTCTCCGTCGTCCACCACAGGAGTTGACGCATATTTCTTTATTTGCAAAACTCTACGATGGTTGGCGCCAAAAGCGAAGAGGACCAGTCAAAACCTGACTGATACAATCAGAAAAGATTTTGAATATACAGGTGGACCAGCAATATATGGGCTTAGACGATAGAAAAAAGAATGGTTTCTATTACTGTCGACGATGGCATCAAACCGCGCCACTTGGAGGCGTCTTACCCTTGTAGCCGTTGGAGCCAGCCTAACCAGTAATGGACCAGTAACCAGTAGAGCTGTTAGAAGAATAAGAATTAAAAAATCTGAGCATTGCATTCGAAGAATGCACAATTTTATAATTTGCTGGTTATTGTCGACTAGTGGGATAGTTTACTGGAACAATAGAAGACAGATTGTGTTTTTAAAGATAAATTCTTAAAGATTGTGTTTTTAAAGATAAATTCTTTAAATCTATTCATTCTTATGCTCATTAATTAGCATTTTACTTGGGCATTTCACCTTGTCGATCTTCAGCTAAAACATTTATTGATTAGGTTAGCTCCAGTGGCTACAATGGCAGAACCACAGCTTTCGATTCAATGCCATATGTCAGTAATAATTCTGATAATTTATCTTATCTTTATTGTTTAATTTCGCACCTTTCCTAGAATCATACCATTTATATAATTAATATAATCGCGAATGTAGTACCACTGAAATAATTATTCGATTGATTCATTCGTTTTGATAACATTTCTCTTTCAACAAGATAATCGTATAACATAAGCGATATTTATTTCTGCTTCGGCTTTATTTGTCAAATTCTTAAAAATTTTCGATATTATAAAAATATTAAATATAGAAATATAGAATATCGTTTCAAATATCATCTTAGTGTTATTACTAAAAAAATGAGGTTTGAAGTTCACTTATGATTACATGGCTTGCATAATTGTGTGGTGCGCCATATACACCAATTTTTTTGTGTAAAGAATTCTTTGAAGAATTTCATAAGATAATACTATTGTTCGTAACACATTTTGAATAATGCAGTGTTCAGCA